GATTCATTCGCTCGGTTCTTTCCGGATTCCGATCGGAGCATTATCTCAATCATAATTTGCTTGAACCGGTGGACCTTGCTCAACCCACACACATGCTCACCCAAGATACCGCCAACAACTTCGAATAGTGCCTTCGTGGGCTGGCATTGGTCGAAACGGAGCAGTTTGTGGCATATCCAGGTTTCCCTCAAGGGATCCGAGCGCAGGCCAATGGGCCAGATGTTTTGACATCTGCAAGCGAGCGGCGGGCGTGCGACTCGAGACAGATGAGGCAATTGTGTTGACACATTCATAGCTCCGCGCTTATAAAACCATTTTTTCTGCCTCCAGCTTCTTCTCATCTGTGAAGACGAGAGGCGATCACTGATCATCGCCCTAGTAGGTGTACCAACTCTAGACGGTCCCCAGCCCTGTCCTGAGCGAGACTTTGAGTACGTTCACATCAATGAATCAATGAATGAGTCGGATCAGTCGCTCATCGGATAAACATCTGTTTGGAGTCTGGACGTGACTAGTTTCCGGACTGTCATTGGCGTGCTCGTGCTCGTGTTCATGTTCATGTTCATGGGCGTCCGTCCTCCCTCCCTTCCCTCCGAACATGCAAGAATGTGTGTGTTCCTGGCTGGGATCGCCACTGGACGGACGGACATACTCGCTTACCGTGAGGACGACGGCAGCGGTATCAGCAGCATGCTCCGCCACGAAAGTCAAGTGTCGTAAGATTTTGCGTACAGTGGAGGTGTCATTCTTTTGACCCTGTATGCCACAGGACTCATTCTGTGCTCTGAGCTCAACTCAACTTGCTCGATCCTACTTTCTGTCATACGCATGCTACACACAACTCATGCACACTGCACTGCACAGAACTACATTTTTTTATTCTCGAAAAATCGTCTCAGAATTCGTCACTACGTGTCCGCCTTGCCTCACGAGGCTTGCCCATGGTCACGGGGGTTGAGCTTTCATTACTTCCCGAGCTTTTCCATTCATTACTCGTCCACCACTTCACTGTTTCGAGGCTTGGAGCTTACTCACCATCAAGCAAGCGGTCCTGCCCCGGAGTCCGGAGTCCTGAGTCCTGTTAGCAGGGATCCCAGCACCTCAGGCCCCATCTCATCTCATCTCTTCGAATTATTATTATAATATTAATAATACTACGCGCTAATCTTTCAGAGCTCAAATCCTCACGAACCGTATACTTCTCAATCTGATCCGAACGAATCGGTAGCCTCGAGGCCTTTCTGCCCCTCATCAGAGCCCCCCTCGAGTTGCTCGGTGCTGGAGCCTGGATTTTGGATTAAGGACGTCGGAAACTTCTGATGGATGGATGGATGGATGGATTCTCGGGAGAGATGAGGGGCAACGACATGCTGCGAATCATTAGCATGATTGGATCATTTACTGTACCATCGCTCAAGTCTAATATAATCATCTCTCAGGAACTTTGACGATGATTCGACGAAGATTAGATTCATTCATTCGTAAGATCATCGTCGTCGTCGTAAAGCAGAAGGTAAATCGTGCGGTCGGTCGGTTGCGTGGCCTGCGATTCCAAGTTGGCGCAGGGTGCAGGTGCAGGTGCAAATTCAAATGCGGGGTTGTGCGCGGGGCTGTGATCGACGAGATGCAGCTAGCTGGCACAGCAGATCTCGGTTGGAAGGGAATCGCGACTGCCAGACAAGTTTAGTGACAAATGTAGTGGAGACGAGAATTAGTTAGACTTGTTTGTCGAAGCATATTGAAGTTGGTCGGTGCTAGAGGGGATAAGGAGGTGCCCCTAATTAATACAGCTTAAATTAAAACTTGCCCCTGGACACTTCCCCCTAGTGCAATAAAGGTTCGGAGCCCGCGGTTGCGTGGTTGTGAACTCGCGCGCGACCAGCCCCAGCGACAGCAGCATGGGCCTGATTCCGGGTAGGGCCTTGCGCTTGCCCACCACCGATTTTCCCAGTTTAAGAATGCGATGCACTCAATAAACTAGGGGCAAAAAAAGAGGTGCATGGGGATGTGAGAGGATTTGTGGTACAGTGCTTGAAGTGGACAATTCTCGCTCAACTATAAAAGGAATATGGATAGGCTCGGTCCCCAGGTAGCAGGAAGGACCGAACGAGGGAGCCGAGATGGGACAAGCTTCAGACTCGGAATATGTTAGTCGTGTGCTGCGTATGCCCCTTCTTTTGCCCTCCTTTTCCCCCTCTTCTCCCCCTCCGGGAGCAAGAGCAGGCCCCAGCCCCCAGCCCCCGGCCCCACTGCCCCATGAGCCAACGAACGTTTCAAAGTTCCCAGTTCGCCCTACACTTCTCGCATACGTATCGTCCGCTGCGATTCACGGTACGGTCTTCCCGCCGTGTACGTATCCTGTACAGCGGGAAGACCGATCCCCACCCCCCACGGTGGGGGGTTAGGGGTTTAGGGGTGGGGGGTGGGCGCATGCAGGGGCTCATCCTAGCGAGGCGCTATTCTTCTACAGGCCCGTGACACCGTGTACGGGGGCAGGGGAGGGGAGGGGTTGCGAGGGTGTCACGCGGGCGCAGGTTCGGGAGTCGTGGCCGAGATTTTCTTGCTGGAAGAGATTTCCGATCAGGGTAAGCACGATTCTCCGCCACCGGAGGGAAAGTCGGGATTTCGTCTGGACCCGCGGCGTTCTCTCTGAGAGTCCAAGGCTCAGGGCGGGGGCGGGGGCTCGGCCCGCCCGGCCGTTCCGTGCCGATGTCTCGTGCTCGCATGGCCGGGAAAAGGGGCTTGACCTCCGTCACGCGTTCGCTTCGTGCCGACACACGCCAGGCCCCAATGCTGGCCGCGTCGTCATCTCGAGCCCGTGACCTTCCCCGCGCGAGTGTGTGCCCCGCGCTCCTGGACCCCAGTCCCGCCAGTTGCCACCTCCGATTTCCCAGTTTCTGTAAGCGGGGGCAGTGCGCGGGGGGCTGGCTGATCGGAACGCAACCACGCAGCCCCTCTGGGGCTTATATTTAGCGCCTCGTTTGGGAAGCTCCCAGGTTTATATTTAGCGCCCACCTCCGCTTTGCGAACATTCGTCTCCACACGATCCGTTGACTGCCTTCTCTTGTTCCCCCACAGGGTTAAGGGCGCCATGGCTCAGTGGAGACTAGTTCTGCAGTACATGATAAGTTTTCCAATCATTGTAAAGTTTTAACTCGTTGCAAGCGGATGGCAAAACCTTCAGTTCATTTTTTCGAATTTGGGTTCCACTAATAATGATACTTTCTAAGTATCCATAGCCAATACCCCAGTTTACTTCCTTCTATTATATTTCAAAACCAGTTTATTGAATTCAACTATGAAGTTTAGATCATGCTCTAAACTCAAAAAGAATATCTGGTTCTTTACTCCAATATTGTACTCTTCATATCCTGGTTCTGGATGAACCTAGTTCAAAGATTATAATATCAGTATGAATGAAATCAATTGTCGTTGAAGGTAAATATCTTGAAATTAGAATCAAATTATTGGATATGAACTTTAATGGAATGTTGTTTTACAATTGAGATGGAGTAGTACAATATGTCATAATCAACGACTTTATCCTAGCAGTAACTTCACTTTCATGGATTTGCTAGAGGAGAGTGTTAAACGAAAATTATGTATCATGCACAATCATGATTTAGTGTAGATTATATGAGGTGTGGTATCAATTTTCCATCTTGCAAATGGTTGGTAAACATGTGTAAAAAATATATAACCGTGAGATGGGCAATCACATCAACATCTCTCTTTAGACTTTGCACAAATTAAATTGATCATTTTGTTGGACATCATGATATACTGTAACCAACTTTCATTATCTAGAACTAAAATAGAGGTTATGCAGGAAAGGCTTAGATCATGTCAAGTTAACTTTAGGTTGACTGTTCATAAATACCGTATTAGCAATTTATGTGATTAAATTTTAGATGATTATTTGAGAGAAAAAATATATCAGCAATTTTTGTGTTAATATTGATCTTCGTCACATCATCAATTCACAATGACTCAGATGGACGATACATGAAAATCTTGTGCTCATTTAGGTTGTTGAAATATGCATAAAACTATGAAGAGAAATGATGTGGAAAGTTTTCATCCGTAAAATAAATATTTCCGAAATGTCACAAATTGATAAAGAAAATGATCTTGACGTTACAACAAACCTTTTACTTAGATGGGTTTGATATCTAAGTTCACTGAATTCTACTAAATAAAATTTCACCAGAAGGATAAGCAAAATCTATGACACTACTCTCATAAGAACAAATTGCTCTTATGAAGGTTGGGAATTTTTATATTATTTTTATTTGCCATAAAAATGCACATGTGGTGTTGGTTATAATCCTTTCTAATCTATTTTGGCTTACTACATGAAGTAGCTTTCTTTTACACTTTGCTTATTTATTGGAACACCAACTTCAAATATCCTTCAAACTTCAACAATATTTGCCTGCTACAAATTATCTTTCAGAAAATTAGATCAATATTTGTATAAGTTTTTAGCAAAGATACTTGTCAAAGAACAAGTGCATACTCATGGATATTGATTGGACGAAAAGCACCAATTCACTTTCTGAACATTTATGACATTTCGATAGTATCAAATATGCAGCATTGATCTACTTGACTTCTACAGGAGGATAGCCATGATGTCAAATTGAATATGATATCTGAAAAAACACAATAGGATAGACATTTCACACATAAGTACTTAACGCAGAAACTATACTTGTTCTAAAAGAAGATTTTTATATTCTTTATCATGTGAATGCATATCATGATGTGATGTAGTTCTGAAGTGATTCACTATCCAGCCCCTCTCATTCTCGTCCATCCAAGAATACATCTTCGAGTGAGGTAGCAATTAGTATCTCCAAGTAGAAATGTAATGAGAAAGTACAATCCTTCAACCGTCTGACATCATTATATATAAAGAGCCATGGAAGAAAACTTTGATACACTCGAAAGAAATTATACTCTGTGACATGGGTAAAGATTTTGTTAGATATATTGTCTGAAATATTTTGTGACAGAGAGTAGTTTAAAAAAGTAATCATGCAATGAATGTGATTGTGTGATTCGTCTCTAGTACATAAACTGAATCTCTTAAAAAAAATTTACATACTTGTCTGAGTGATTCAAATAGCGCTTTCAATATCTAACCTTGGGCGACATCCATGTAACTTCGAGAGAATAGTACGGTACTTTTGGCGAAACTACGCGGTACTACGATATGAGCAGATATATTTTAGGTTTAGGGACATCGTGAAGGTGAGTTGGAGAGAGGCTTACCACAGTACGTCCTTTCTGGAGGGCCTACAGATACGGACAGATACGACCTCTCGCCTGCTCCTAACACGGCCCCTAAGTAAGGACCTGTCCACATCTGAGTTATTAGGGTAGGACAAGGCGCCACCCCTTCATGCTCTGATCCTACGCTGTGGTGCGCCTGATACGAACAAAACTAGAGTCCGCTTGTCCTTAATAGTTCTGAGGCGAACACCCCATAAAAGTAAGACATCTACTTTAGTCCTTAGCAGTCCTCAAAATAGGTGGTGGACTGGGACCGAACTGCTGCATGATCGATGGATCTCTCGACAGCTTTATCTGTGCAGCCAGAACTCCACATCCTACCTGCACTTCCGCCTTGGAGCATGATTTTCGAGCCGATAGTCTGGTAAACACCGTCTAAAATTGGGGGGCATAATCGCCATCTCATCTCAGGCCGGGATTTCATACTGTGAATGTCGATTTCGTTCGATATCCACGATCTCAAATCGCTGGTGGGAGCCGCCTCTTGTTCAACTGGGAGGAGTCCTCATCTGCGGCCTTGAGACTTCGCCACAGCTCTGGGTACAGACCGTCATATTGATGAGCCGATTTTACCGATTTTAGGTTAATCCATTCCGACTTTAGGTTCCATCGCTGCTGCGCAGATGGAGGGTGGAGTTTTTGGCAAACATACTGACAAGGATGCATTCCATTCTGAAGGGAAGGTAACACGTGATATGTGAGCTCGAGAATCTCAAGGATGAGAGCCATTACGCACTCGACTGAAGAAGTAAAATAGCTAACTGAAATGTCGAGGTCTCATGTTACGTGGATGTGTGACTTGTAAAATGTTTTTCAGCCTTTTGATCTTTTGGGTCCCACGCGCTTGATCTAATTATCTAATTATCACTTTATGAAATCTTTGTCGAAAGTCAAAGGCTAACGTAGAGTTTTACCATTTCACCTTATAATATATCTCTCACATCGTTATTCTACTCTCTCTTCTTGAACACTGTAATATTTTGTGCGCTTACACACACCAACGCCATATCATATCTATCTTTGAATCAAGTGCTTCTTCACTGTCATTTCATTTGAGATGTTAGATGAAATAAGAGAAATCGAGTAATTTTGATGAAATAAAGATGAAACTGTTTGAAAACACAGCTTCTTATATATTCGTTGAGCCTATATTCATGTATACTATAAGAAAAATTAGAATGCTAATAAGGATTTGATCATGTATCAAATATAATATCAATCCTTCTATCTATTGTTGGATCTAGTACAGATTGCCAACATGTTACCGGGAATAATTGATATTCTATCTTTATTTTTGATACAGTTGATTTTTTAGTAAAGGATGCGTTGTTAAGAATCAATTCATCCACTTATGAACGCATGTACTGTACATCAAATACATGTATGCCAATTGGTTACAAAAAAAATTTGTATGAATGTTGCTTGAAGGTGATGTGCAGTGTTTTAATTCAAAGCATGGGTTCTTGGATAGCAATACGTATTGGATTTTTTTGATGGGAAGAATGATCTAAGAAAACCTATTATATCAAGGTTATACCAATACAAAATGAGGTTCAGGCAGTTGAAATGTTTAAAATGTGTGAAATATTACGTCTGAAACTTTTTCAAACTTAGGGATGTCTCTTGTGTGAAATGAATTTCATTTAACCAAATAGTATATAATATTATGCATTTATCTTATAATTAGATTTTAGAACCTAGAAATTAAAATCTTTTATCTTTTATAGAGCTGTGCATAATTACAAAGTGAAGCTTATCAATTCAAGAACGCGGGAAATTGTCATTCAATCTGTTAATGTAGATATCGTGAAATCTTTTAAATCTTAATTTATTTATATCATATTTTTAAATTAAATTTACTAGCAATAATATTTTAAATAATTAATCCTATATTTTCTCAATAAAAATATAAATCTTAGATCATATTTAAATATTCCAGAAAATTAATATATAATTTGATGTAGAATATCAAACAAACCACAAAATGATATCTTCCAAAAGGAATTAGAGAGCTTTGTCTGTGTTTGTTTGTATGTATGTTTTAAATGTAACTATTGAAGATCTTCAAAATGAGAACATATTGAAAAATGGATGTCATAGCTCAATCAACTAAAAATGGAGATTTTCAATATTTATTTATGTTTTATACTCTCTTTTTTAAAGCATGGGTTTGAGTCTTTGTTGCAACCTATGAATGGTAGAGTCTTGAAACTACTTGAGAAGGTTTCGCAGCATTTCAAAGAGTTCTACATGATATATTTTTATATATTAGGCTTGAAAATTTATATTCATACAAATCTAATGACTCCTAGAAGCCTCCATACAAACCAAATAAACGAAAGACTCTGGAAGGCAAGCTTTATATACGTCAAGACTACCAAGATGAACCGGATAGAGTATGCATGTATTAAAAAACACAATACACACCGGAATCGAGTAGCGAGTAATTCAGCAAGAAGGGTGGGAAAAAGGGACGAAGCCAATGGGGTAGCATAAGCAGAAAATGGCTTTGACTAAGCATTTGTCTCGTGCGAAGTAAAATGCGTAAGATCAATCATGAGAACGGTGAGACCCTTTCACAGTTTGATATACCGACAGATGAAGAGAAATGTGAATGGTAGTACGTATATTATCAGAAGTTTACTCATATATTGTCTTCTCTGGACTTTGAAGGGGAGCGTATGTAGTGGTGTAAAAAACGTGGGTTCGTCCAGTGACGGCTATTACATGACTTTGTGTGTACTACCTAGAGGTTGCCTCGGTGCATTTAACATTGTCGCAAAGGGATCTGGGTGTAAATTCGTACTTTGCTAATTCATATATGTGTTCGGACATCGCTGTCAGGTATGAATAATAATTTCATTTTTTGCTCCAGTGTATTACAAGCTAGTTTATCATGAACGCAATGTCTCTGTTCCTCTCCCCCCATCCAAAATACAAAGATCCAAAATCAAAGTTGGTGCCAGAACAGTACATGTGATAACCTGGCCAAAGAAGACTCCTAATCGTAACATCGTTTGTCAGAGGCTGCTGTTGCAAACTCCAGAAACCTGAATATTCAAATATTCAACTTTATAAACAAAAAAAAAGTTGTGTGTAGCTCGTAAGCTAAAAAAGGATTGTCTAAATGACTCCCTACATGTTCCGACATGCTACATCTTACGTGTACTGTAAACTTAGGATCTATGTCACGACTTGCAGTGCACAGATTTCTACACAAAGCATGTATTAAATTATCGCCGCTGCATTGTGAGAATAAGACAACCATGTAATCTACTTATCTTGAAGAATGAGATTAGAGCCACCTGCCTGTAATTACAACTAAAATTACTCTCAAAAGTACACATACATGACAGTTGCTCCCCGTTTGAGACGATATACTCCAAATTCAGCGGCTTACATCTCAGACGTATCGCAATTTAGTCTAAAATCGCCTAGTACATAAATAAATATAATGCAAGGAACCGCGTTAGAGACGAGCCTAAGCCTATCAGGAACAATGTGGAGTTTTAGGTGACGCACCTGTTATGTCCTTGGATAGTGGTCCCCGCTCGTAGCCTCGAAACAGATGTCCGTAATATTCAAGTTTGTCAGCGAACTCTAGCCCTGTAAAGAGTCCATCGTAGCCAGTAATCAGCTCACTACTTTTGAGGACTCACACTACTCAACCATCCACCCAAATCCACACCTTCACGAAAATAAGTTTGTGAACATGAGAAATATACTTAGTCAACCTGAGCCGTAGTTTCGTCTCACACGTGCAATTTTCTAGTCATATGTGAACAGTCAGTTTACATAGGCTATTGACGTCATGGAAGTTCAAGCCGGCGTTTACTTCGGACTGGTTCTAACCCCTAAAACTTGTGAGGCCCACCTTCGGCTCCCTATATTGGGCAAACGTAGCGATAACAGAGGAACTTCGCTTCGACCAGAGCAACGGTACAGAACCCGCCATAACTGGTAACAGTCGCCGCGTAGGATTATCCTCAAGGAGAAGTTCAAGCTCTGGAATCAAAGTAGCCCGAAAACGAAAGCGGATATAGGCGACAAAATGTATGCGAGTCGATAATGAACTCATGTCCTTTACCAGGGATGTAGAGTGGTAAATTGTATCGTATGAATACGAATACGAGATTGATACGGGAAATTGTTGAAATAGGTCCTCAATCGTGAGAAATCGAAAAGTATCTCTCGCATCTCTGTCTGTCTGGACAAAAATTTCCCACAAGACAGGATAAACGGTCAGGAGCCTGGCAGATTCCATGTCTGCTCCCGTGCTCGCTGTCTGATTGCTCTCCACCTCCAGCAAGGCATCTATTTTGTAGGCCTAGCGTCTGCAGACCATGTATCCGGATCACAGGATTTCAACTTAGATGTAGCTTTTGAAACCAATTTCTTGCCCAGTCCTACTGAGTGTACCGCAAAGGCGACCCTGATTCCGAGTTTCTTCACCGGATCATTGAGCAGAATCTGGATGCGATAGAGTAGTGCTATCAGATTCCAAAGATATGTGTGAAAATAGGAAACCTAACGCGGGGAGCGGCCTGGTCCTCGGAACTTGGACGCTGGCCACGTTCGGACAACGGTTGTTTGAAATCTGGTTTCCGTGTGCTGTGAGAGATCAGGTATCCTGCGGTAAACGCCAATGCCTGAATTTCGCGAGACCTACGCCTTTTCTTATGGCCCACTAAATGAGCGACGAAGGGCCAGCTCGCTGAGGTTTCTGCACACCAAGGCGCTGCAGGTAGGGAGCACAAATGTGGATCAGAGCCACCAATACAGCGACTTCTCTCCAGGTCAACTTTGTTGGGCATGATGTGCCTTGCCTCTATTGAATCTTCTTGCAAGATTTCGTGGCCTTCCGCAGGCAATCCCAAAGCAACGAGACTCCCACCATCTATTCGTCGGCCGCAAACCACTACTCTTGCGAAGCTCCTACCAACAAACTGAAGAAAACACTATCCAGTGTGCCAATCATGACTTCTAAAATCTGCTACAAGATAGACAACATGCACCTCGATGCCTATCCAATTTCCGCCTCCATAGTAACCCACAAATTTCCTAGTTACTCTAAGGATGAATAACATTTGTATTTTCTTTATTTATTAATGCAGTGATTTCAACGGGCCGCGGCAAAATATGAAACTCAAAACTTGTCACAAGTAAAACATCTGAACCTTCCATAATACTTGAAAAATTACCTAGAAGACCTTATAAAAAAGACATTATTCACAGAGACATGTCGGACCAAAGACTACGAACGTGTGAACGATGGCACTTCGAACCGGCAACTGTGTCCAGAACAATCTGATCGATTGAGAGCAAGGGTGATTACGAGGAAAGAAATGACGATGCAATTGATTCCTCAGATAATCACAGCTGATATGAACACTTTATCAGCAGTATTGATTCTTACTCACGAGACATATTGCCTTTCTGCAACAATCAAGACATAACTGTGACGAGGATTCTAAGCAAAACGGAGGTGAAGACGAGTGAAGATACTCAACGAAACTTAATGTAAAGAGAAATAAAGCTCGATCACTTCAGGTTGTGACGATTCGAAAGGTTTGTACTACATTCTCATATCCATATCATGAGTAGTATTAACAGTCGCGAACCACCGTCTGAATTACCTCGAGCTGCAGTTCTTCTTGAGATCACCTGTAAATTCCTCTGACGTTTTACCAATCCCATATATCTGAGCCCTACTTTGAAAAAACCATATACCTCTGTAGTAAAATCAATCTGAAGTTTCCTCACCAGTTTATTAAGCATGACATCAGCAGCAGACAAGCAAATGCAAGGCGAAACCCTGCTACCAAATGTAGGGATTTAGAATTTCTAGAAGCTTTAAATCTGACACATTCATATCAGTCGATGATCAGCCTCAAAAATTATAGCATTACTAGAAAACATATCAAGGCTTATCTCTCGCTACTGCAGGTTCAACACTCTCATCAGACAGAATGTACACATCTCCAAAACGGCTTCCACCGATGATCGGTGATCTTGAAAAGACTAAACTAGTTGCAAATACCTGGCATAACCTTCCTGCAGTAGTTAATGTACAAGACCGATCTATTTCGGTCTGTGAGAATATCTCACCAAAACATTTGGGTTGAATTAACGCACAAATCACTACCGTAACACGGACTCTATTTCCAGTACTGCTGCACATGAAGGGCGATGTATCTGAACCATCTCCGATGCAGGATGTACAATTCCAACCGTGATATATAAAGTACTGACCGAGACTAATTACTCAGGTCAATACGAGTTAGAAAAGCTATCGAGTCCAGATCGATAACAATTTACCTTCGCAAGGAAACTGGTTAATAGACGTTATGCACTAAGCGAGGCAAAGACAGTTGAAATTTCCAAGTAAGCGCAGATCTCGAGAAGCACTAAATTGAACTAGATCCAACGGAAAGAAGTACACAACAATGTGTGACAGATTGTGTTAAACGAAATAATCAAAAGAAACTCGGGCTTTGAATACTAACCAGGAAAGACGACATTCTGAACAAGATTGTTATGGGCGTCAAGCACCATACCACCAATTGGCACGACACCGCAGTCTTCGTCTACCCACCTCATCAAGGATGCCAGCCTCACAAGCTGCACAACAACCCCCAGTTTTTATAGAGTCAACTAGAGCATCTAGTTACATGCAAATGGGTTGAAGTTTGAAAGAGTGATGAGAAACCCATACTTAAAATGTAAAGTGAATCGTGTTTGAGTCCTTCAAATATCTATTAAGAGCGAATGGAAACCAACTCTTTTGCCCAAATTCACAAAGCTGCTGTATTGAGAAAAAATTGTCTCCATCAGCTTTTTATTAGATTTTATCAAGACTTGGATAGGATTGAAGGTCCATCGCCAAGAGCAGCTGACACAATAGGAGTATGCACTCTTGCGAGCTCTATTTGAGTAAAATGCCATCACGACCAAACGCTGTTGAGCTTCTGGATGTCCTTTTCATGGGACTCGTTCGTTGACTAATCCAGGCTTTGGCTCGAGATTTCGTACTAGATAATGTTCGAAGTAATAAGTCGTCTTAATGTTAAGTGGGAATCATCCGACTGTTGTCGGTCCTTCCTAAACAGGCTATCAGAGTGATCAACCAAACCTAAACAATGAAATCTTTTCAGGACCATTTCCGGAGGTACCGATCACAATTATACTTCAACACTGTTCGAAAAATTATGTCAGAGGCAAGGGAATGTATTCGATTGAAAACATTGCAGCAGCATTAGATTTCTTGTAAATTTCCGAAATTGTTCTACGAATGAGCTCTCTTTCGAAGACAAGCACTCGACACGAAATAACGTCTGTTAGCTTAACTACTGATTGTTATTCAAGTCCTTCATCTCTGGTTCAAATATCGGTATCGCCTTACCTCACCAACGTCTTGCCCCTTCGGAGGAGGAGGCTCGGCAGGCTCCCCGTTATCTTCTTCTGGATTGAGCTCGGGATCTGGACCCTCCTCATCAGTTTCAACCTGTGCTTCTGCCGGGGGAGGAGGCCCATCGCTATCTTCGTCCATTTCAGATTCCCCTTCTGTGGCCGAATCTTCCTCCTTAGAATCTCCTTCTCCCTCTTCTGCCACGGCTGTTGTTGGAGTAAGAAACGCAGGCTGCATCGTCGTCTCTGCATTGCAAACCAGCGAGAAAATGTCATTCGCGAATGGAAATAATTGCAACGACGACTTAAGTTGTTCGAAGACCGAAAAAGCATTAGAAGCCTTCTCTATTCGTGATCAAGAAGCAATCTCACTAATTTTTTTAACAGTGCTCGTACGATATCGAAAGCGAGTTTGATTGCATGTTCGGAAAGCGTCTAGATTAAGGAATCAGTAGAATGAAACATCGGAATGCAGGATGTGTAATGGGCTTCACCTGGGCCAGGAGGAGGTAGGGGTGGTGGTGGAGGATCTGGGACGAAGTACAGATGGCTTGGGTCGCCTCTAAATGGACCCTTAATTTTCTTGCAAAGGTCAAACTGCTCGTCAGAAGGAGATTGCAAATCGAGCCATACCGCTCCATTTTGGCTGTGTTTTCATAAAAACAAAATTCAGACGCATGTCATAGCCGAGTCTGCACCAGATTCATTTCACATGTCATCCTGCGCATGACTGTCCTCTTCGTTTGTGACCATCTTCTTGGCGTTTCAAGTCAAAGCCTTGCTAGTCGTGATTGAACGGCAGATCGAGCATATCCAATGACGACGGGAGGTTGGGATTTGCGGGCATTGACAAAGCCAGTGAGACAACTTGTCCTTTATTTCGATATTGCTTTATGTGCAATGGACTATGATCTTCAAAGTGGTGCAGAATGCTTCGAAGTACTCCGGATCTGGAGAAGTTGACGGTGGTCTACCTGAAGTAGTATCTTGTGTCAAACACCAATTTTCGTTTGACGAGCTTTATGCTTTTTACTCCTTCCGCCAGTAAGTAGTCTTTTCCTCCCGCCGTAAATATCCGGCCCCATAGAGAAAGACTTCTGAGTCCAGCGTCTCTTTTCTTGTACTTGAGGGAGATTTGTATAGCACACCGCATCTCACTCGGAACAATGCATCCAGACGATGCAAGAGCTTCCAGTGTAAGAATAAGATTGTTTTCCATGCTTTGAGCTAGTTTCAAATTGCCCAAACTGGAAGTCACTCAGCTTGTTCACTGCAGGTAGACGTCGATTACTGCACAATCAGCTGTTCCTTGAGTACTCGTTCGCTTATCATGCCTTCCGCCGTGCACCAACCTCAGTCGAACATTTGGGATATCGAACTTCAACATAGCTCATTCACGAGAGTCTTGGCTCAAGAACGCGTCCAATGCATAAAGACCGTCGAAAGGGTCAGATCGACTTCCAGTAACAGATTCTTGACTCTTTGGCCTGGCAGGACAATGATGGCCAGACTTTTAGAGCACGAAGGCAATTCAGATTAGGCCTCAGTATAAGAGTGACAGAAAGACGGAAAATAGAAAGAACGGCGCAAGTTCGGATAGAAGACAACCATTTGTTCCACAATGCACCTGAATCAAGAACCGCTCTTTCAGAACTCCACTCGAGAATCTAACGAGGTCCTTTCAAACACCAAATTTCACGTCTATTCCACAGATGATATTGCAGGTCGCCCCCAAACAACATCGCCCCCAGAGAAACTACATCACTGCTCGATCGGAGATCCTTGTTCGGATGTATCTTGAGAAAGCACACCAAACTCTCTCATGCCGGGAAAGCAGCCAGGCGATCAGCGACCGACGCAGACGAGCCAGCAGCAAGAACGAAACTCCCAATGAAAGAACGACGCCGCAAATAAACCATCGCTGATCGATCGAAGGGCTTCACGCAAGCTGGTCGCCTCGTCGAATAACGAACGAGGCCTAGGCGCAACAAAAGCCTCATTCTGTTGCTCGAGCCAGCCAGCCAGCCATCGATCATCATACAGAGAGAGCTATACGAGCCGCAGCCAGCCGGTTACTCGGAGTCGCGTCTCCGGTCGTAAAGCGCGCTCCTGCCGCGGGGGACGTGAACCGGTGCTCAGGTGTCAGTGCCCTACCGGTGGCCCGAGGTTCGCCACAGGAATCACGACTTTCCTTTCGTTGACCTTCCAAGTATCGCTGGCCACAGAGCGACGGACAGAAACCCCGCTAACTTGGCAGCGACTCCAATTTCCGCAGGCGCCGATCATTACAGCCGGATAAGCTTTGACGGCTGCCATTTCCATGCAAGAGGCGGTTCGACGCCGTAGAGGCGGTTGTGGGGGTTAAAAATTCGCGCCCGCGGTACCTTTGGCGGGCGTGGTTGGCTCGGGGCTGACGGCCGGGCCGACGAGGGCCCGAACCCTGGATCTTACCCAGAGTCGTTTCCCATACACGTGACCTTAACTTGACCCCGGGTTGGGTTGAATGAACCCGGGAGTTCCAGGGGTCTGTCTGTGGTTAGGGGCAAAGCACACTTAGTTTCCTTACGGGGTGAAGGACAAGCTTAGCGGGCTCAAGTATGGATCGCCAAGATGCGAGTAATTTGCCGAAATCTCAACGGTCGCGAAGCGTGAGTCGTCAGCTAACCTGGAGATATGTCGCTTTCTACACGGGCCCGATCGTAAGAAGACACGATTTTTGACCCAATGATAATGCGATTGCACATCATGGGGAATCATGAGTTCGATCTCCCAGCACATGGGAGAACTAAGTCATGATTGCAAGACTGGTGAGCAATAATCTATGTGATGATCATTTAGGTAGATCATTCTGTGAGATTTACTAATGTAACGTTATTGGGGTTTTTTATATTTACTGTTGGAATTATAATTTATTAAGCTTTGGCCTTCTCTTACCCATTGAATTTTTTCCATAAAGTACTAGTGACATTTTTTCCATATTTTTTGCTATATTAGTGGGTTTTCCCAGCACAGTCATACATGTGGTACTGCACCGAGCTTCTTAAAGTATGAGTGAGAGATGTGTCCAGTTTTCAGGTTAAAAGAGGTTTAAGCTTTTTCTATGGATGTGTACTTGTATTGCCTATAAAACGCAGATTTAACACACATTTCGGGATAGGTTAAGGTGATGCAAAAGATAGAGAGGTACCACGCTGGAGACAAATCCAAAAAAGGGATGGCAAGATCGATGAAATCCTACACGGAAAAAATCAAGAGAATGAGGCTAGACTCAAGACCTCACACTTTCTTCTCTTATTATAATATTACCATGTGCTCTTTGTAAAATAATATTATGATATAACCATGTGTATAATAGGAGCTTGTATACTCTCAGCCTGTACCCGCTGCTAGAGCCGAGGTGTAACGCCACCTAGTCATAGGCGGTATAATTAAATACACTGAATTATAGATTGTAGACCATACTTGTTCTGAATGCCTAAGGCGAATTGTACTTCTTCATCGACGGGGGCCACAGGAGGGCATTCGAAAACGATGTATTCCTCGGTCACGTCGGTCAATCCTTTGGGCCGTAGTGGGGACAGAGGTTAAAACTGCTGACCTATGCACACGGCGGGGGTCCGAATCGGGGCGTCACGGAAGCAGAAGAAATCTCGGAGTTGTTCAGCAGATGCCGTACCGGGTGGCAATGATAATGTCATATGGCGAGGGGGCGTGCAGTCAGTCTCGGAGTTCGATCGGGGAGAAATATCGGTGACAGTCGGGTCGGTTTCCTTTCATGATTTCCAGTACAACGAACGTGTGCCATTCGTCGTCTTCGGCACCATACAACACAGCACTATATGGATTCAAGGCGGTCTACGAGCAGCCGAGGTGTAATATTCTCGAAAGCTTCGAGGAAATCTATATCTAGTCTGGAGTCAGGCACCTACAATAGTTTTGCGACCTGGAAATTCCTATTCGTAGCCTCTCCTAATGACTCCAAACTGGTGCACGGGAAGTTGCAGCTTTTCGGAAAAAGCAGGCCTTCGTGAGTAGATAAAGGTTATGAAAACCTCGCTTTTTCGACGTCAATTGAGATCTGATCCTAATGATTTGCCGAAACATCGAAACCTGAGAGAACATCAGACTGCATCATTGCTCCCTCGCATACATGTGTGAGGTGGCTGACCTAAACTTGATAGACTCTACGTGTATAGAAAGGTCCTTCACGTGCAGCCAGAAGGAAAGCTCTTACCATTGACAATCTGTGAATGATGCGAGCCACCTTCGCACATCGGCGGTGAATTCATACGATCTTGTGGGGCTCGTAACCCCCCGTGGTGAACCTGGTAAAGCTCTGCTCCGCGCATTGGCGTCCAGCAGCACTTTCGATTACCCCCCATATTCGAAGCATCGAGTAATAGGAACAAATCTTTTCAGAGTAAAAGCTAAACATTGACTGTTTGCATCAGCCTTCGAGTTTGTTGACCCTCGCACGGAATGTTCATCTCGCCGGGTCACGACAAATCCTCTAAATTCCAAAATTTCAAACTTTAAGCAGAACAAAAGCTATTCTCCGAGATATGGGACAGATTCTGGAAATTATTCCACACTCCTCTCCTGCAGATTCGATGGCCCAGTGTGGTCAACACAACCCTAAATTGGTTTTCTGTCTTTATTGATACTTAAGGGCGGACAACACTAGTGCTCGACCTTAAAGAGCAAATCGGTCCTTTGCTCTATCGATCACCCGTAGAACTCCGAACTTGATCTCCGGATGGTCCACTTGCTCGTTCGTTGCCGGATGACACGGCCCCAGGACCATGGTAGTTGAAGTTGCTGGCCGAGGGTAGAATCTTTGTATCATCTACTATCCACCTCACTCGGGGGTAGCACTTTGTAATGGAGCAAAGAATGTTTGTCTACCTGTCATGAAGTCAATCCATCGTATCGTCTACCATGTTTGGTGCTCCCTTGCTATTTCTGGATTCATAATTGCATGCAATCTCCGTAGGGCATACTGACCACAATACAGGAATTCGGTTTCACTACAGCCGTGGTCTGCAGTGGAACGTGGTGAATACTAATCTGCAGCCTAAATCGAATGTCGATTCTCACCGAGAATTGCTCGTCTCTTCTGTTGGATACATGTCGTATGCGTCGTGACGGATCGTATCGGATACTGTCACACACGAGACCTGTGCTTCTTCTTCCTGATGCACCCTGCTACTTCATCTGCTCTTCTTTACAGGACCCATACGACATGTCTAGGTACGACGAGAGTGACACATGCAGAGATCGAGCGACGTGAAGTTTCCCCCACTCCGAATCCCAGGTCTTAGTTGTGGTGCACTTGCACGTCAATTTTGCATCGAAGCTGATGGTTGCTATATTGAACATGAAGTATTTTGGCGGATAGCCTCTTCTTCGGACTTCGGTTCCACTGGCTTCGGACCGAAACATTCCGCATAATTTACGATTCTTCGATGGCTTGACTAAACTGTCGGCCTGGTTTAGTTGGTTGGTGATTACAGGACACTGATATGAAAATCGCCCACTGAAAAAATTCCCAAGCGTCTTGAAGTCACATCATCTCACGACCGGGGCAACTACGAGTTTGAATATTCCAAGTCAAGCACGTTCCCTGTAGCAGGGTTAGTTAAGAATATGATAACCGGCACACACTTCACACCTTCACGAATGTGTTGGCACGCTGTTCCTCGGCGGTACGAGCTGCTATCCAGACGTGATACCGGAATCGTAGTGATCAATCAGGGGAAAACAGAGTAATGAAATCTTTTTGGCGAAAACTAACAGCTCCTAGGCGTGGACACATGCTGCCCATAAAATCTGTTTTCGCTTCACTAAGGTATCACCAGAAAGGTCAGGACGAATCATTTACGTCCTTTGCGACTCTACATGAATTAAGCCTTATTGCTCAAAGTTAGTATTCAGTACAAAACAAGCGAAAACCATGGCGACGGCTGATATAGTTATCTGAGGTAAACCAGGAGTGTGCTTTTGTATTCGACCAGATGCTGGGTGGAATTTTCTTAATTAAACGGCCACGGATCGTCCGAAAATTTCACATGACAGCTGAAAATAGACTTCAACAAGCTCTTGGTTCACCAAGAGCGTGATCATATGTCGCAGTAATGCTGAATCCTGGTACGATAAGTCCGAAGAACATGAGCCTAGTCTCTCTTCCGATCGACATTCCTTAGTGAGCTCGTCGTGCAAATTAACATACTGAACAGTTGAAGAATATCATATCGAAATAAGAAAGAACTCTTGGTTCAGGTGTGAAGAAAAGGATTTGACCTCTAGTTAGATATTAACATGAGTGAGGCCTACAAATAACTCCCAGAAAACAGTGAACTTGCTGACGTTCTGCGATAATCGATATTCTTGAGACGAAGCCAATCAGAACTACATTGTGCCAACTTCAAGACAGCGTCTTCGAGCTGCTAATTTGAAAGCCTACTTAAAAGGCATTAGGCTCAAGATCTCCAGTGACAACATACTAGTAGACGTGAAAAAATATGTGACGGCTAGTTGACTCAGCAAATGAGTACCAAGCAAGTACAGCAACATTCCAACAAACAACAACTTATCTATCAATGAGCTGGCAGCTAAGATTAAGAGGACTAACATGTCACGCCTACTCTTAGAAACTGCCAAGAATATCAAAAAAACAAATCAATCTTCCAAACATACCCAACCAGAATGTAGGCAATTGCAATGGTTGCCCATAAAGCGAGGACAACACCCTTACAAGAAGTGACCAAAGCTGTAAAATAATACCTCCAAGCAAGAAAAAATCTAGAACACAGCTTGCAGACCATCCAGCCACACGGAATGCAACTTTCGAGATGCCACAATAACTACAGCCCAAACCCTCTCTCTCAAACTTTAAGCTGAGAAGAGAGTTTTCCAAAGTGTTGTAGCCTTGTTCAATTGAGTCTTAGCTGGTTCCTCGATTTTGAAGCCTCTTCCTTTCCAATTCCAGCTGCAGGAAGCAAACTACACTCTGTTAACCCAGGATCTATATGAGCATAAATTGGCCTTTCTCTGAGAAAGATGTTTACCTGGTACTGTAACCGTGGTTCAATTATACTCAAGATATTTTACTTCATGAAAGAGAAAAATAAAAATAAAAATAAAAAATCAAGAGAAAGAACAAGAAAGAACGGCAAAGGATACCGATATCGTCATCAATGCAAGAATAACTCTATTCAGACCGACCAACTAAACCCGAAGGAAACTCTGACACCAACTGGAGCTCTTGACCTGTAATGTCAGTGACATGTAGTTTCTTTTTGAAATTTTCTTCACAATCTTCACAAAGTAAACACCGTTATACTTCCCTGTGTGAGATTAAAAAGACTTGTAGAGGAGCAACCGATAATTATTTCGACAAAAGTCGAAAGAAGAAAGAGTAGATAAAAATTTGTGAAATAGAGATATAGTGACTGCGATCTATATACAGAATATCTGAGGGTGACTATTTGGACCAAAGGGGCGACGCCAATAGAACGTCAATACCACCTTAATGATCTTTACAGATTACATTACCACTACTAATGACACGGAGAATCTGTACTGAGACAAGCTCTATGCGACTCTAAGGTAGTGTAAGGCATAACTATTAATGTCGCACTCGAATCCAAGTAATCCCGCTTGCAAGAGGGAGGAGCATTCATCAATGACGAGTTTGAGACGTGAGGTGAAATCTTACCACTTTCCTAACCCGTTCGTTGGCAGCTGGGGGCCCCCCTGTAACATTTTCAGGAAGGTACGGATTGTTGACCCGCACATCATTCAGTACAACAATGGATGTCTTCTCCCATCGCACTGGAAGCCTGTAGTTCAAGACACCCATTTGCATCACCGGTCAAAAGTGGATTTTACAGTAAGAAACGTAACGTTCAGTTAACTGAAAAAGGTGTGCCATGTCAAAACTGGATATTCCCGCTGCTGAATTGTGTGTAAGGCACGAACTATACAAGTTTCGAAGCTTCGTCAAAACTAGAGGATACACTGCCATGAGAGACGATTAAGGCGTGACATGTCAAAACTGGATATTCCCGCTGCTGAATTGTGTGCAAAGCACGAACTATACAAGTTTCGAAGCATCGTCAAAACTAGAGGATACACTGCCATGAGAGACGATTCAAGGTTAGATCGTTACGTCTTCGACAGGGCGTCAAAAATGTCTTGCGCTTCTTGCGACACTCCTACACCAATACGTTCTGCGTCCGCCTCAGCCTGTCTGTTGCACAAAACGATGTATCAGTTACGATATATTTTAGATAGTTATTATCAGGTCAGGATATAGCAACTAATGATACGAACCGCAAACCATCAGAACCAACATTTGACTTACGATAAACTCGATCAGTGCTTGTGTACACATCGCAGGTACAATTAACGTCCAAAACTTTTCATCAACTGAAGTAACAATGTACTTATCTGGAGAAGAATAAAATACAACTCCAACCATCCAGTGCGTTCCAGCTCGACCGTTATGACAGAAGGACCAGAAATAACTAACGAAAGACCTCGTAAGATATATTTTTCACCGATGCAGCTGATTTTTTAAATGTTCCATATTTCGTATCCTCACACAATTTTGGTGTTCGCATTCCAACAAAACACGTGGAGTTGTAAACAATTAATAGTATATCTAGATCTACCAATATTTAGCGACTTGTGTTATGTAAGTAGCGGTCATGTGATGGTTTTCGACAGCATCACGTTCATCTGAAGGTTCGAAGGGTGATAATCATTCTAAATTGTGGTCCAAGCCTTAACCTGATGCTACAAAACGTACACATCTCAATAAATACTGTTCTTATCACGCGGTGAAAGCCGGAAAAATCTAGAACGAGACTGACGGCTAAGAATTCATCCCGTCATCGAAAATAATGAACGTGGTCTCAGATCAAACCAATGAAAACAAAAAAAAACGAAAAAGGAGAGTCTACAGAGCTTACAATATTGCTCATGTTAACGAACAAAGTCCGAAGTAAAAAACAAAGAAAGATTGCAATTGTTATCGTCGCATCCATCCTCAGAATGCCAAAAGCAGATTTGGTATTGAGAGAAATTAGTGACTACCTGCATAGTACTCACCCACCAAACACAACAAAATCCGACGAAATCATTTCGTTTGTTTAACGAGCTGATATAGGGATAGACTGTAACCTGATTTACGGCAGAGAGTTGCTCACCAAAGCAGCTGTAAAGGACAAATCAGACCACAATCTGGAAACAAATATGCTTACCTAATGGCAGCTTCTTCTCGAGACCGTAGACTGTTGAGGTCCAAATATGGACTCTTGATATCAAGAGGCTCCTCCACTTTCCCAAGAAACGTGAAGTCCTTTATGTAATTTGCCTTCACAAACCGTAGGTTTCGCCGGGGTCCAGCACTGTCACTCTCCTGTAATCTGAAGGTCAAGGTCATACACAACTGCCCAGATGCTCGCTTTACAATCTAAAGATGGCATGCACTCGCTTACGCTCACAGAAGACAGGCAGAGTTCCCCTGAAGAGAATCAAGAGACTGCAACAGTTAAGTACAATATAACCGGAATTGTTGTACCCATCAAAACAATGCAACCTTGTATATTGTTAGAAAAACACAGATACACCATCTCGTCGTATTCAGCTGCCCATAACATTTGCAACCCCCATGAATTGAATGATTCTTGTAGCTTCATTGAATGGGCATGGTAAGGTCATTTTGCAATCTCAAACTCCAAGTACCAAGTTCCCGGACTACGGCGTTGACGTGGCAAACAGGTCCGTCAGAACCTTTCCTACTTCCACCTTCTCAGCGATCACGAAAACGGAGTAAAATATTTCAGATTGAGACACCCGCCGTGACGCTGGCTTGTTCGTTACAATTGACGCCTTTGCTAAGGTTTTGCATTACCCTTCCCAAGGCAGGGCCTTCAGAAGGGTAATGAAAAACCTCAGCAAAGGCGACATTCTTGTACTACAAATGCTTGTCATAGTATGAAGACGAGAAGTGTAATGTGCAATTCAGCATTTGGCCATAAAGTGGCTCCATTAGGTAGAGCAGTGACAAGGAACTCCAGTATCTCTACTTGTTAAAAGAACGCTACCAACGGAGAAGAATATACATATATCCTTCATCATGTTGGTGCAAGTGGCTTCATACTGGCAAGTCTGCCACTAGGACAAAAAAGTTTCGATGCCCTGTAAGCAAAGGCGCCGGAAACAGGACAAGACAAAACGTCTCCCGAGGTCCGAATGGTTTCCCACTGTCCTCACATATTTGTGAAGGCAGCTTTGAAGCTTTGTCTCATGGTACAGAACAAACGAGAAAAAAGACGCTCTGGACGGTGAAAACTACACACCGACATAAACTGGCCCAAAACTGTGTCCGCGAGAAAGTGAGGATAGAAGATAAAACTTTTCTCGTTTCATGTATGAAAAAAGAGGACATCTTTGACCTTCAGATAGACCAATGTAAAATCTACGAAACTGTTACTATTATGGCTGGTCTCAATCGGCGGAGGACAGTAATATCCTACACATTGGAAATTACACTCGCGTACGAGTGTATAGCACACATGAACTAGTTCAACAAAGAGGCTTCAATGCTCCCCAAAATTCGCCGTTGACCTAATTGACATTCGACAAGAGCATTCGTGAACCTTCGTCATTCTGACTTTTGTTATTTAAACGTACCCTCGAAGCAATGCTCAGTCAACAAGCCGCGCCACTACAGAACAAATTCCCAATATTGTTCCAAAATCACCTCTTCCGAAAACCATACAACATCTGCAAGCTCGGAAATAGGTTTATAGCTACTTAAAAAACATATAAGATATCCAGCTCACACTTTTACTTCGGATGAGCACAGATGTTGCGCCTAGGAAAGAATACGGAAATTTGCCACCAAAAAATACCCATCTTGGACATCGACAACATGCTGTGTGGCACGAATAATAGCCCTGGTCTTCGACGTAACAGACCCATGAAGAAAAACGGTGTTACTGAGGAACAACGAAGTATGATCTGAACCATGACCATGAACTTAAGTGGAGCATCCGGATCGTGTACAACTCAATGCTTGACGTTTAGCACTTCAAAGCCGAACACTACACCAAGAAAGCACGAAATTGACCGCCCAAAAAAAAAGGGTTCAACGAACTTCAAACGCTCGAACTGCCCTGATTCCCCGAAATAGTACTTCCCGAATGCCCCTTTGCACTGCCCACATGAATTCTAACACTGATCGAGAAACCCGCAGCTAAAATGGTCAGAACTCAAACACGAAGTATACTGAGAATTTTCATTCCAAAAAATAATGTAGGACACGGGTAGGATATGAATGACAACAATGTTGCTGGATTTGTCGTAGGTTAATACATGACCCTCAAAATCGTCCCCCAACGTAGTCTTGATGGCGAGGCGGTATCCCACCACGAACTGTTCCCCACTCCCGGCAGGGTCCATTCTGTTTTTATTTCCTACGGGGAAAAAATCCCCACCCACAAAGGGTCGTCTCTGCGCTTTACTCTACAATTCCATTTCTCCCTGGCGCTTTGCTCCTGCTTCCATGGATTCCTATCCCTGGATTCTGCCCCGCTCCCCTGGTCAATCCTACACATAGAATCACAGCCCGTCTCTCTTCTCCATCGTCGTCACTTGCACATTTCCCCTGCCGCTCTCCTCCTCCTCCTCCTCCTCCTCGGCTGCGTTTCCTCCTGCCTTCCTTCCACCACAATCTTCTTCACCTCGGACGGCAGCAGCAGCAGATCTCCGTGTCTTCCTTCTCGTCTCGCTCGACACTGTACCCCAACCCACCCCTCCTGCGCAATCTGCGCCGGTGCAAGATGTCCTGCCCGAGAAGCGCAGAGGGCAAGTAAACCCCGCCCCACGTCTCTGTCTCCCTACACCCCCCCTTCTCCCCTCCCCTCCCCTCCCCTCGCCTCCCTCCCTCTCTCCCTCCCTCTCCCTCCCCCTCCTCCTCCTCCTCCTCCTCTCCTCTCCTCTCCTCCCCTCTCTCCTCTCGACCCCGACCTCCTCTCCCCTTTCCTTTCGTCTCCTCCCGGAGCATCGGACAGAGCGGAGACCAGCAGCAGCAAATCCCTAAGCGCGGCTTCCCCCAACTCCAGCCAAGGACAGTATCTCCAGCTACATTGGCGGCAACCACTGCCGTTCGGCGGTCACTCCGACATCCGACTCCCGCGTCCTGCCGATGCTTTCGGTCTGGTGCGTATTTTTGTTATCCTGGCGGATTGTGAAATACTGTATTTATAATGCTCTCGCTCGCTCCTTGACCACTTGCTGCAACTCCTCGGTGCTTGATCGTTGTCGACAATTCGCTCCTTCTCTTCCCAGAGATCTCATCATCCTTTCCGACCATACTCTGCCTCATCATATTGTTTGGTTTAGGGTCATGTGCAAGCAATCTGAATTTGCCTCGTAATTCATGAACAGATAATTTAATTCCTCCACTACGAGAGAGTTTATCTTACGCCGTTCCTGTCTTCTTCCTGTTGCTTTGCTGTATGAACCTTACCACCTCACTCTTCGTTTCACCGGTACCAGGGAATGGAATTAGAGAAGACGAGCCCCATGATTATAAGAATTTGTCGGCTGGTTTGGCATGTGTCTTTGCTTTCAAGTAGCATATTATAGTTGAGAGTGATATTGTACGACATATTTCATAAACCCTAAACGTGTTCTACATCATGATACCACTGGGGTCTAAACTTCATCAACTAATTAGTTTCATACTTGTCCTCGATAGGATCTTCTTGTCTTTTTCTTAATTTTTCATGTTCTTCTATTGGCGGGAAACAATAATCATTTTTAGTGTTCCTCTTGATGAAGCGCAGAATGCTTTGTCCTTGGTTTTTTGTTCCATACAGACATTCTTATTCGATAGATGTAAAAATAAGTAAACATATATCAAATATGACTCGTGAATATTGCATTCCAAGATTACGGAAACCAATTTGTATCTATGTTTCAAGAATCACTGTCTTCATTTGCAACTGATTTGTGTATATACCATTAGCTTAAATTTTTATCACAAATATTTCATATCTAAATTCATCTCGAAAGCTGGAGCCCAAAATTTGAAAGATTACCAAATCTACGAGACTCATAGTTCTAGTTAACATTCTTGCATGACAGTTTATTATCCTGAAACTACTTAGTAGGATGGCAGAATGGAGATCAAAATATTGGAAGCATATCTTTTTCTTACTATTTTGACATAGCTTTTTTTACTCTCATGAGTTGTGAAAGTAATTTGACGCAGTAGTAAATTAAAACTAATTGTTTTATGGCATGCAAATTTACCAAACGCCGATTAGTTTCATTCAATATAATACATGTCAGATCCTCAATTATTCAAAATCTACCCACTGTATTGTCCTTATCATTAGTGGATTCCCTAGAAATATTTGATTTTCCATGTTAAATTATTAACCCTTGTGATTCATACAACCGAGTCATATGTGATCCTGATGTAATATCTCAAGTATTAGCTAATTTTTCTGAACTGATATTTAGTCTCATGTTATTTTTGTGTTCTTTTTATATGTATCAATCTTCAGTTTTTATCTAAAGTTTATGATGTACATTATTTGTATAATTTTCTCCAACATTATATCCACTCCAATAATTTGTGATAATTATACAAATCAAGATTACAATAATTTCTATATTTGTTTGCCGTTGCATGTAATTACATAATGTACAAAATATAATTTTACCGCATAAGATTGTCTAAAACACCACTTCAGGAACAACACATGATAAATGAGAACTAAAGCTAATTTGTTTCTCATAGGGAGCCGCTAGTCACCACTCACTTTTGGCTATTCACCACTCACCCCCAATTTTAAAAAACCCCGCGCACCTTTTTTGCTCTCCGATTGGGTTTAGGGTCTCCTCTTGCTGCACTTGATTGGGGTATGGCGGCCAATCTTGACTTCAGACCACGACGGAGACAAGGGGCCGTGTCCCGTGTCCCTAACTCTGAGATCGAAGTTCGAACCGTAGAGGAGGTGCTGGCACTTGGCTCGAAAGCAATCATTTTCCGGTCTCAGAGTGAGAGTGAGAGTTCGAGCAACATTGTTTTGCAAGGGAAAGCCGAGCAAGGCCAACTGAAGCAACGATGGTGTTATCCGCGCGTGCTTTGGGTCTTCCTGTTCTTTAAAATTGGGGGTGAGTGGTGAATAGCGAAAAATGAGTTGGGTGACTAGCGGCTACCTTCTCATATTATAGATCTAACCTAAATATATGCATAATTTTCATTAGTATTGTAAATAGTGTAATTAATTGATGACTTAAAAATAACTTTCAAGAGATTTAAAATTTTTAAATGTGCATTTTCTTCTCATTTTCTTCAATAAATTTTATGAGATGTGTTTATAAGGATAAGATTTAGTTGGAGTTTAACACTCTAAAATATCTCTTAGCATAACTATCATGGTTATAAGTTATGAGTATGATATGGTTTGGTATACTTCAAAGTATGAAGCATTTGTAATGCTTCATAATTTGAAGTTATAATTTGTATGTTTCATATTATATCAAATACTTGATAATAATTCTGAACCATGGATGTTTAGAATAAATAATGAAGTTGATAATAAATTTGGTGAAACAGATTATATTTATTAATATACAAATTTTACTTTGATTATATGTTTTAAAATGGATATATAAATTATGAAATTTCTATCTTAATTTTAAAATTAAATGTCTGAAATATGTGGAAATCATATTTTTACTGCCAATTTCTCAAAAAATTGAGAATTAATTCGAGTTCACAAATATATAAATTTCAATTGAGATTCTTTAAAATCTTTTTTCTAGATTATAAATATATTGTGTATGCATTTTGTAATAATGAGCTATGTTAATGAGATTTCATGATAATTATATGTTCATCTAAATCAATCACTAAAGATAATATCAGATTTATGCATTAAATAATATCAGTATTTATATGTTTAATAAAATAAATTGAGAGATTTTTTGCAAGTTTTTATCGTATAAATTATCATTTCAAAAGGGTTTTTCTACCATAAGTTAAATTAGGATTAATGTTTTTAAGTGAGAATATTGCATCATCTTTATTCAAACTTAAAGTTTTGCTCATTCAATATTATGATGATATGGATAATTAAAAATCATAAAATTATTATAAATTTACAAGAAAAATATTATAAATATAAAATTTTAATATCAAAATTATAAGTCAAAATAATGTTTGACAACATTTTATGTTAAGTAGAAGGAATTATCTACGTAATGCAATTTCTTCATCAAATATGGATATTATGGATAACCTTTATAGTTAGAATGATTAAAATTATATCATAATTGATCGGACAAAGTAATATTATGTTTTTTAAATTTATCTCATTTTTATTTATCAATCCTCAACGAATGCATTTTGAATACAAACTTTTTCATGAAAATATCGTAGCACATACATTTGCGACTTCAATGATAATGGTGTATCGAGTCTTGAAGTCATCAAGCAGTCGAAACAATTTAGTATTTAGCACATGTAAACAGATAATTATGCCAAAAAAATACTTTTTGCGTGAAATTATGTCTATTTAAATTTTATTATAGTAAATTGTGTCATTAACTGTTTTGATCTCTAGGAAAATCTTCAACATGAAATTTGAGAAAGTTAAAAACTTAGAATTCAATATCGAATCAATAAAACAAATAATAACATGTACTACAAATGTACAAATGGTTCTTTTCCGGAATTGACATATGTGTTGTGTCGTGATCACATCAGCTTTCTCTTTCTAGGCTGAAGACTACAGACCGGGTAGCTACCCGGTGCAACGGAGGATTTCAATTGGCCTGAGTACGAGATGAAGGTCGGGCCTTGGGCAATCGGATTGGGCTGTTGTATTCTTACTGTACAGTAGGACTTCGCTAAGTATCGTTAAGGAGCCGGGACCACTACTCGGTCGGCCGGTGCGACCACGGTAATGCGTGGAAAGAAGGGAAGGCGAGCAGGGTGCTACTGCGTACGACGTGGTGGTGACTGGTGAGGCTGATTGGACTGGATTCTCCCCCGACTCATTCAATCTCTGCATCCTTCGATCGCGTGCGGTGAGTCGCAGAATTTGCAATTTCGGAATTTGTGCTGAGCGATGGCAGCGACAGGGGCCGTGGTCTCGGTTACAGGCGTCTGCTGGGAGGCATGTTTCCAGCCGCAGCGGAATAGGAGAGTTAGCGCGACGAAATTGCAGTCGTCCTCTGCCGATGCTGTCGTTGGCTTCTCCCGAAAATGCAGAGTGGAAGGAGCGACTCTGATGTCCAGTTGCAGCAGTGCAGTGAAACCTTCCTCCTCGTCGGTTTCTTCATGCTCTTCGAAGCCTCAGCAACACCACGGGCGGAGAGGCCGAGCGTTTGCGACTATGGCAACAATGGCTGAGTCACCCGTGGCATCCGAGCTGGAGAAGGTCGGGGATGTGCTCCTGGAAGTCAGGGGATTGTGCGCTGTGGTGGAAGCCACTGGCAAGGAGATTTTGCGTGGTGTGGATCTCACCGTTCGACAAGGAGAGGTATGCCTGCAGGCAGCACAGTCGTTTTCGCTTTTGGAATCTATGCAGCTTGTAGTCATGTTCAAGCGACTGGCTTGAATTTTCCCCAGAAACCGAGTTCAAATTCAACCTCTGTATAGGACCTCTTAGAAAGCTTGCTCTTGATTTTGGGCGAATTTTGAAGAATGGTACCGGTGGAGAGATGATTTCGTTTTCATGAGAAACTGAGACCGAAAATCTGAAGAGGCCTAGATGGTCGGAGTTCTGTATCAAAAGTGCCGTTGTTTTTGTTGTTCGTCGCGGCCTACACAAAGATATCACGAGAAAAATATGTTGGGAATTGTTAGTCCGATCAAGAGGTCTCATACGAGGGATGAAATTTTCTTCATAATCAATAACGACTGTATACGTAATAATGAAAATACATGAGAATAAATATGATGTGCTCACACTGCCGTAGGCCAACTTTGAAACGATGTGCAGGTGCATGCTATCATGGGCAAGAATGGTTCGGGGAAGAGCACGTTGTCCAAGGTGAGTCATTCCGACAATTTTTGGCATCCCATATGTATGTTCTTGGACGTGACAGTTCAGATAGATTGACGGGAAGCAAGACGTGCGTATGGCAGGTACTGGTGGGTCACCCAGATTACTTGGTCACAAGTGGCACAGCAACCTACAAAGGAGAAAATCTTTTTGACAAAGAGCCTGAAGAAAGGAGCCATGCTGGACTTTTTTTGAGTTTCCAGTCTCCAGTTGAAATCCCTGGAGTAAGCAACATGGATTTCTTACGGATGGCCTGCAACGCCCGTCGCTCATCCCTCGGGCTTCCAGAGTTCGGTCCTCTTGAGGTGATTTTTGATCTTTTAACATCGTTCCTTTGCTGAGGAGGTGTATTTTGTCGTAATATATTGTGGGCTACGCTCGTGTTACATTTCAGGTCCGATAGAAACTTCAAGCATATTTCACGACCACGAAATAATCTAGTTTAATTTTTGTCATTGACAAGACGCACATTTCTCCTCCCTTTACGTTGTTTGTCTCTCTTCATCCTTCTTCTGGACTTATAACTGATCTTCGTATTTGAATCATTGTAATTTCTTATGTCACACAGTTTTATGGATTTCTATCTCCGAAGTTGGCTGCACTGAATATGGATCCAAGCTTTCTGGATCGCAATGTGAACGAAGGTTTCAGTGGTGGTGAAAAGAAGCGTAATGAAATTTTGCAACTAGCGGTACGCCCACTTTTACTCACACCTTCAGCCTTACGAGGTGATAAACCCTCGGAAGGCTGAAACCTCGAGGTTTATTATCTGTTTAATAACCAAGGTTCATAAATTTAAGGTTTTCTTTTCTTGTCAGTTCAGTATGTAAGGCTTGAATCTTAGGTAGATGATACAGAGAGTTAGAATGCTTGAAAGCCAGGGCGTAAACAGTCTTTACTTTCAGCCCGAGTGGTGGAGAAAGTTTGGAGTTTGCACAGAAGCACCGTAATATTGCGTTTTGGTTTTGGAGTAACCTGGACAATTAACCTTCGTTCTTCAACTTTAGAAGACAAAATTCCTCAAGCACAAGGTTGATATTGACCTACATATCGACTTAGATTACCCCATGTGACAATGTCTGTACTTTCCACATGGGAAGCATATTGATAGCCCAAAGAGACTCTCTCGTTCCCGGTCAGAGGTCGTTCATTCATCTGGAGAGACTGCAGTGTGTCTAGTGCTCACATTCGGACCTGACGTATGGTGTTTTTAAAATTTAAGAATCACGATCTCCACTATGTACTAAAATCACGATCTGCACTATGTACTTCCAGCCTCTCGATATTTCAGACACGATTCGGATACAACACAACGATTGTCTTAAGCGTTGAATTTACAGTTGGAAGAGTCTGGGGTTTCCTTTTCTTTCAAGAACTGGCTGCTGCTAAGCTCCAGGCACGAAACAAGCGGATCCTCTGTGCGGCTCTGTGCCGCTTGGTCTAAAGTTGTAGTCATTTCCACGTTTTGAATTTGTGATAAGTGCCCTGTATACGACTCACCCTGTCTCATTGACGTCCAGGTGTTGGAGGCAGACATGGCTATATTGGATGAGATAGATTCTGGCTTAGATGTGGACGCCTTGAGGGATGTTGCTGCAGCCGTAAATGGCCTGAGAAAGTCAGACAATGCGGTTCTTATGATTACCCATTATCAGAGGCTTCTGGACTACATCAAACCCACATACGTTCATATTATGGTACGTATTCAAGTTTGTTAGCATTTCTACTCGTTTTGCTCTAGCTTGTTCATCACTTCATTTCTTTGGCAGCAGCAGTGACTGGTCGGTCACTCGTTGTCTTAACAGGAAGCAGGGCGCATCGTAAAGACGGGCGATAGTTCTCTAGCTTTACAATTGGAGGCAGGGGGATATGAAGCTCTGAAGGAGTCGGCTTGAGATTGTGCCTCTGGGCGAATGTATTGTAATTTTATTGCGATCTCTGAGCGAATTGTCAAAAGAAAACGGGCATTCTTTGCCCTCGGTGATGTAACACTATCTCATTCTCTTAGGAAATTTTCCGAGAGGATCAGGAGGAGAGCATAGGACCAAATAGTGGAATCCCAATTCGAAGCCACCCACTAAGCTACAGGCGAATTTCACAATTGATATGTTGAGCGCACAATCATCAACGCGATAGATGTTGAAAGTCCTGTAGGTGAGTTTTTGTCCGATACTAAGAACATTTCGATCACGCGTCTAATCTTTATGTAAAAGGAGCTTCTCGATCACCTCTCGTAAATAAAACTGCTGGAGAGATTTGGACTTGCAGGTACCAATATGCTTTGTTCCTCCTCGTTTACACAATACTACCTTCAATGTGGGTCTGATTTTGACAAGGTTTTACATTTTAGGTCACGAGATGCCGAAGTTAAAGACACGTTTGAGGCAGTTAGTAGCAGCCGATGGTGGAAAGTTGGCTTTTGAAGATATCAAATATAACAGATGGGGTCAACGAAATTTGAATCATCTTGTAATACCACTCCAAGGCTAGGCCAAGTCTGTCAAAACGCAATTCTCACAGCTGAGGACTTTTAGTCGGCTTGTAAATTTCTTGATCAGATGGCGTCGATGTCTTCAAAATCCCATCCCGATGAAGATCTCACAGGCTTCAAAAGACGCTGGCCGCCACTACATCCACCATGCGGCTCAGGCCCGTTTTGTAACAGGAAGTTACAGTTGTTCTGATGAGTTTTGTCCGAAAAGGATACGATCGCCCTGCACTTTACCAGAGGTCTTAGTACCACCATAAAATTGCTGTCTTATCCCAATGCTGCGTGAGGGATGCCCACCTAAGTAGACATTGTGCTTAAATATCATCGAAATGTCATCCGACATCGAAGAATTTTATCAGAGCTGCAAGGCGTTATATCGAAGTTCTGTACTCCCTGGTTTTGTTGGGTGGCTTTGATAGTATGGCAAGGTAAGAGGGATTTCAAGACTAGGAAGGACGACTTCACGCATCAGGTATCGTCCTGTGAGTAGATAGGACACTTACAGGTCACAAAAATTAAAGGAGAATAGCTGCTGCCAGGCAGCTCCAATGAAAAACTAGACACTTTCTTCGTTCACTTATTATTCTTCAGCACATACACGAACAGAAGTGAGGTGCCGGTACAGCTGCAAAGTCATGACATTCACACTTCTTTCGGATACCAAACACATGTTAGCGATCAAAGAACAATCCAGCACTTGATCTCATGTCCCACCATGCTCTGTTATCGCTTACATCCTGATATTAACTTCCTGGTTCAACTACTCGGTAATTAAGAAGCTGGACACCAATCGTCACACCTTTGCTTCTTCTTACATTAGTTTTCTCTTATCATCTTACTGCAACGACTTATTCCTGGAATGACTTTAGAAAGAAAAGTAGATCATACTCGAGGTTTTGTGTAAAGTAAAGTGAATTTTTAAGGTCGATCTTCTCGTTATTGATAAATGGACCTCCTGATTCTTCCCCGACACTTTCAAGGCGTGGGAGGTTAGATTTATGGAAACATTGCTTACACGTGGTTCTTTTCACGGAATTATTTGAAACCCCCTTGACTGCTGCCTTCTCGAAATTTGGAGAAGTGGGTGAAAGAAAATCCACTACGAAAGAAGCACCGAAATTACCTCCAAGCCAAACTTCTACGGTCCGTGATAACTCGAAAAATTTATACGCTAGCGTAGATTCAAATCCCGTACTCGCAGTCATGTTTCATAGTGTATGAAGTGTAAAGCAAATGTATCGAAGTGAACGAAGGGGCAGACTCGGATCTTCATCAGGTAATAACAGGGAGACGCAATTTTGTGCAGCATTATGGAAAACAAAGACCCACGGCTGATTGTCGTTGAGTATGGGAGCGGTGTTACCTTTGTGGTTGCGAACCGATTGCACTGGTCAGAAGCTAGTGAGAACAGAACACCTTCCTCTTCTTCTCTTTTCCTTCCTGTTTGATCCCTACAATTTCCGTTACATGACCCTGTGTGATCAGTTGTCTGCTGCCCCCCAGGAGGGATTCGCTCTGCCGCTGGGAACATACATGAGCATGGAGGATTCTTGACCTCGGGCCAACGAAGGAAGCGAGTGCTGCTGGTAGAATCGATCAGTGAGATGACCGATTGGCTTGGCTTCCTCGATGCATTTCAGATTGTGGAAAAGTCGATCCAGATCATCCGAGTTTGACCGATGACGGTCGGTTGAGTTCAGATACTGAGATGAGCATTGATCCGAAGCATTCCTGGTAGGAAAGGCAGTGGAATCCCTCATCCCATGCCAGGCTTTGATCGAAGATAGAGACACGATGGCGTTCATGCTAGTATGTACCTACGTTTGAGGCAAAGCCTGGACACCGTTTTTCCTTGTCCTGTCTTTTCTTTGCTTGGTCCAATGCATCCGTAGTTGAGAATTGCAGTGTTCGCGCTGTTGTCGATCTGCAGGATATTCTTTAGCTTCTAGTGATGTTCGGGTCTCTGGCGTCTTTCTTTCTTGCACGAAGCTAAGCTTTGCACCGATTTTGGCCATCACGCTCATTTTGAAAAGCATCGCCGTAAACCGTTTCTGTTATGGCGAACCTGTTGCTAAAGCTCTGGCAGAAAGTCGAACGTAGACAAGGGAACGGGGATGATTGCCTTTCTCTGTAATGTAGGTGCTCATCGCGTTGCTTATCTTGTGCTCGGTGCTGCTGTACGCTGCTCCAAGAGCATTCCTACCGGCCTTACGCTTGAACAAACGCCGATGCTATTGGTACAACAAGAAGACCGCGGAGGACTTTTGTGCCGAAAGCTTCATCACGGCCGAGATTGGCAATGAACTTTTGGCCACTTGAACGTCTCCTCATCTGTCGAACATGGCCGGAGTTGAGAGGGAAAATTAGCAGACAAATTGGAACCTGCATTCTTGGACCCCGAACGACAACTCTTTTGGATACATCTGGGAACCTTGTCAACTTCAATTCTTACCGGTGCTCGTCCGGTTGGATTGGTTTGACAGCAGTAGTTTTGGCTGCACCGAAGAGAAGGCGTGCGCAGAGACAAGCGCCAAGAGGATATGAGCTTCTTTCGGAGAGCTGGTGGGGACAAATGTTGTGAATAAGACGGACGAGCTTCAGAATCGAAGAGATGTATACGAGGTTGCATACATCACCATCATCTTCGGACATCATCTTCGGACTCTCGCATCGGACAAACTAAAAGTCGAATGCAGTATCGTGTCAACTATTTCCTTGAAAGAAAAGCTCAGATCGAACTGTAGTCTTCCATATGAATGTCAGTCCTTTCGTCTCTCCAACCCTTCACAATATTCAGTATCGGGCTTAACACATAATTTTTCCAAAAGACGTACGTCGTCAGTCGTCAAAACGAAAGTTCAGAATGAGAACAACCGGAAGTGATGATGAAGTGATGGGTAATGTAACGAGGCATGGTGTTGCAATGGTGTACTTTGGTGAGGATGACAACTAACCAACAGAGTTGGTCTGGCCGTACTCCGCAGGAGTATGGCGAGTGGGAGAAGAGTGACTAAAGCCCGAAAGATGTCCACTGCAGCGTCAGTGGACGATGTGGTGGATGAAATTTATAGACTCCGCCCAAACGAGTTCACTTTGCGGAAACTCCTGGACTTCTACACGAACAGTCCAGTGCTGGGCAAGTTTCTGATCATTCAGAAGGTGCGTGAGAGTTTGGCAACTCCATTTGAGGATGTGGTGGCCGAGGTCTGTAAGCTGTCACAGCAGTTAGAGCTCCGGGACGAGGAGGAACCGAAGCTTCCTTTGCCGGATGATCCATGCCTGAGCATGCACATTGCGGTCATATTTGACGATCCCGACAGCCTGTCGGGAATTGTTCTCTTCCATGTCATCAGGATCTTCAATGCTCTGCAGAGGTCGGTCGAGCTGTATGATTGTGAGCGCGATTGCGTCGTGGGTATGGCTTGTGGAGTGTGGACTGATCTCGTGGACTTGCTGGCACCTGTGGAAGACAGGCCTCTGCGAATCTCGTCCCTTCTGCCAGCCATCGAGTGGCTAAAACAGCATCCTGATGGAATTGTCCTGGCGGAGTTTCGAGCAGATACCAGGAAGAGAGAAATGTGGATGAGAAGGTGGCACAAGTGGCTCACGATCGTGGACGAATGTTGGGCCATCAAAAAATATTTGGATCCGTTCTATGTATTTCTTGAGGAGGCAGATGGTGCTATTTTTGCAGAGGTCGTGAAATCGACTAACGAAAATTTTGCCCACGCTTCCCCCAGACTTCCTGAACCTGCTCAAATCGATGTCAACCCCAGATATGGAAGTGCTCCACTTCGTCTGCGTAGATTTGCATCCCTTCCTGAAGCCACACAAGTAGCTTCTGCACTCCGAACGCACCTCTCTGTTCCGGGCTCGCAAGATGGCAGCTGTGCACTTGCTGCCAGAATATGCACCTTCTCATGCTACAACATGATCTGGTGGTAACAAATTTCTAATCATTGACATCTTCCGACATTTCTTCTCGAATTCGACACGATCCCAACCATCGTAATGCTATGTATGAGCATCAGTTTCACGGCTTCAGAGAGACTTCGATTCTTTCTTGTGACGAGGTGTGTCGGCGCAATATAGCAAAGCCCAGATGTGATGCAAATCTGTCTCGAACCATTTTCTGACATCTTCGCTGAAGGAAATTGGACGTAAGACGCATGTCTGAGCAAGAACTTGAAATAAGGAGTCCAATCAAAGAAATGCTGGCTTTACAACAAGGGAAGCAATGGCAAAAGATCGAATATGAGATGATAGGTTAGCATTCCACGGCATCTCCCGACAACCTTGCGTTTCCCACACGTTCCGACTTGTGTCTGAGTCTCTACAGGACTTTGATCGTCCATGTGAATTGCATGTGGTGAGAACATTGCTCTTGTGATCGAATGAAATAGCACCTCTGTAGCTTTGCAATGATAAGTTCGGTGAAAATCAGTGTCTCTGAAACCCCCAATGTTGGAATCTACTTTTTGAACCAACCAATTAGTTATTCAAACACATCTTGACATCCTCTTGACTTACACTTTTCCACAAACTACCTCGTGGAGAAAGTTCAAGTAGTTGATTGATCTGAACATCAATGAACTAAATATTGAGATTTGGCAAATTCTTATTATTCAAATGAAAGAGTTATCATCAAGACGGACGTACAAACGTGTTGTGTTAGTTTTATGTTTGCGAGTGTGTTATAAACGTAAACATACAACTATAATTAGCAAATATTCACGCCTTATGAATTTATCACAAAAGTAACTCAATATTAGATTTAGCTTCTAACAAAGTGGAGGTTTTTGATGTAATGCAACATATATGTTGATGTCATTTGTGTTTGTGATAGATGAAATAAAAAATGGATGCAAATTATCAACAATGATATACTCATGTTATGACACTAGTTTTTGTTAAACAAACATATAATTTGAATGTTGTAAGTAAATAAATAAATATATAACATTCAAATTTTGCAATGATGATATCGTGAAATATTTGTCTAGACTTCTATCCACGAAATCATTGAGATTGTTGAGAGCATGCTGCTTTAGTACAGGATGCTGCTCACCGCCGTCTGGACCGTGATGCGCTAAACCAGCAACAGCGCTGGTACTAGCACATATCCCCTATAATATTGAGTCTGTATTCGAGTGTCCGGTTGCTCGCTCTGGGGAAGAAGAAAAAAAGCCCTCACGATGTAAAAAGCTCTGAGTTCGAAGTTCGATTCGATGTAGAGGGGAAGGCCCGGGAGCAAAGTTATGCATTGTGAATTTTCTCATTATATGATATCACCAAGTTCACATTACTAAAAAAAGCTCAATTAAAATTACAAATGAATATTTGTATGTATGATTTAAACATAAACATAATACATTTTAAACAAATGATGTTAAAATACATAAACATTAAAAATATGATTTTTGTTAAAATATATCATTAAAAAATACAAAAAAATAATATTATCTTTTGAAACAAATATCTATCAATTAATTTATCATTTACACTATTTTTCTTGTTTTTTAAGAAGTTACTTCAGGCTTTGTTTGACATTATGTACAATGAAAAGAAAAGAAAAAGGTAGATTAATTAGCTAGCTCTAAATACTTAAATTAGCATAAAGTCTGTATAACACAAATAAGTACTTGCAGTAAAAAAAAACCTGTGTTATGTAGACGTAACCTTGTTAAGGTGAACAAAAAAAAAAAATTTAACTTTTTTTTTTTATCAATGATTGTCATGTGTGAAATTCAAACTACATATATATTTCTGAATGTACATATTTTCTGTTATGAAAAGACATTCTATTTATATAAAATTAAATTTTTAGCTTAAGATTCTAATATTAATTTTTTTTATCACACATTATTCAAATGATTTTTTTTCTAAATAAATTATAATTTTCAATCAAAATAATATTTTTTGAAAAGAAATATCAATTGATTGAAGATGATTAATTTTATTAATTAGATAAATGGCCTCTCCTTTTCTTCTTTGCTCTAAGAAATTTTTTATCTCAATTTAACTGATTCATATATACATGGGTAATTTATCATTTTTTATCATGATAAAATAGATCTGTGATCTTATAACTATGATATTCTTATATTTATTGAAAGAAATATATCAAACTTGGATAAAGCATTGTAATTGATATTACATACAATTAGAATATAATATATATAATTATTAAAAAATTCAAATATTGAAAGTTACTTCATTACAAGAAAATTTAAGATATATTTATTTTTATATGATTATTATATAATATTTCTAAATGCCATTCATGGATGTTTGGAATGATTTGTAATTATACTAAGCTATATCAAGTATGATTATCTATCAAATTCACACGTATGAAATAAATCATTTGATGCAAATGCTTAACATTTGTAACCTAAATCTATCTAATCTTTTACCTTCATTACATTAATAGTTCTTACTTTAAACAAAATACTAAGTAACGTAATTCATGATGCTAGTCTACTTCTAAAGTTTGAACACGTCGGTTTACTTGCTATAAGAGAAGGCTTCTACATAAAGTTTTTATAAAACTAAATCCATAGGAAGACGTGGACATGAATTAAAGTTGCATATTTGATTACCATGATTCATGATATGGCACAGTAGTGAGAATGGTGCAATGCAAATCACGCATCCTATGGAGTCTAGCCCCTGCCTAGCCAATTGACTCAAGGGGATTCTTAGCCGCCGTCGCAGTCACCCAATTCATCCTTCAATATGGCAGCCATAGCCGTAGGCCCACATCTCCACAACGTTTGGGCCGTAGCCATGCCTGACTTTCTTACAAATATGACACCAGGTAGCCGCCCGCTATCATATTGTTAGAGTTGTAGTCACCGTCTTCAATGTGTGTATTGGACTTAAGTCAAATTACTCGCAACGATCTAGGTCCTACTTAGAGCACAAATAGAGGACGACGTTGAGTGTGCTAGGATTCAACGAGCTACATTTTTCACTGCGCGTGTTGCCAGCACTTGAGAATGTTTTTTAGTACATGGAACTTGAAGCCGGAATGTATAGTATTGCTCGAACAGCTGGGCTCAAAATCAGTGATTTGGTGGACATTAGTCGCCACCATGGAAGCATGCTGACGTCATGCTTAATATCGCAATCGGATCGGGCTTGCTTCTGGATGTCAAGCTGCAATAGAATAACTTTGTCGCTCTTGGAAACCTTGAGTAGTCCATATTCAGCCAATTTGGCATCGATCTAGGCTTCAAGTTGGGAATCTTCTGTTGACGCATCATGGTCTTCAATTGATTCATTATCGTCAAAGTCGTCTCAATTCGGACCAACGTTAAGAACTACGATGTGTGATTCTTGACGCAATTTCTTTTATTTAATGAAGGACGTCTGACACCAGACATGAATGACACTCACTGCTTCGGTGCTCCAACCTTGCGCATAATGTCCTTGAGATAAACACAGCCTTGGTCGATCAGCTGTTGAGTGAAACCATAGTCTTTCAAGTAGTTCTTTTGCAGCGGATCCAGGTACACACTAGCGGCATGGAGAGGCTTGAGTAAATATTTCTCCTTAAGCTGATCGAGCAACAACTTTATGATTGGGCCAATATTTTCACTATCGGCGGAAATTGTCATCTTTTCATCGTTGGCGCCATCCACCATGAGAGTTTCATCACGCAGTTGAAGATGGATCTTCAGTTTGACCAGCCATATACCGAGGAGATGGAGAGTCGGCGTATTGAATGACTCTAGGGACTTACTAGCCAACTTGAAGTAGTCCAACAATTGGATGAGCTCTTTGAGCACCTAAGCGAAGATCTTCTCAACGTGATATCTTGTTTCTTCTTTTTCAACAAGTTGATGGCTTCATCAAGTTCGGCAGCCATAGACTAAAGCATGATAAGGAGATCGTCAAAGCGCGTTGTCACGTCCTGCTTTAGCTTATTCTTCAGTTCCCTGTTCAGATACTTCTGCTTCATGTAGATGAAAAACGACTTCGAATCATCGATCATATCAAAGACAATCTCGCTCTTGTCTTAGAAGAGGTATGCGAGTGGTTGTTTGATGTTGTACATCATGCGCTTCTGCTTCCTCAACACATAATTGATGCATTTTGAACTATGATGGCAAAAGCACAGATCCATCTCGGATTATCATGACATGCTTTTTGCTCCCGTATTGTTTGACGTTGCATCAGAATTGACAACCATTTGCTAGTTCGCCGCATGAACCGTAACGTTATCATCCTTCCAAGATTTGAAAGTGCAGACACCGTTCATAATGAACCGCTGACGCGATGTGACGCGTGCCTTCACTGAACACATCACATGACATGACTTGGCCATGCAAGAGAAAATAGTCATCAATCATGTGCATGATGTCCGCACTGTATGCCCTTTGTGTGACATCGTCTATCCAAATGTTTGTAGAAAATGCAACACGCTTATTACACTTGAAGTGATTGTGCGAGATAACCTAAAGCTTGACAATGCCCTTGTCAAAACGATCCATAGTTATGCGCTTTATCGTATGTCGGGATTGGAGCAAGTCATTGGCGAGAAGCAGGGTCTTGCTCGCAAAGTCGATATCCATGGCTGTGTGGAGAACATTTTTGAATTTCACACTTTTCACAATCGCAAACGGACTCATGTCCCACCAACATAAATTCACGAGAGAATTGGTCATGTTGGCCTTGACAAAGTCAGTCGGCATTCCACGTTTGGTGCCCCAAATGAGTAAGCTGCAAGAGCTGTACGCAAGCATGAGTGGGCACTCATTGACGACGTGCCATCTCTGGAGTTGTATATGTAGATTGTGAAGCAAGTGGTATTGATGCACACACACATTGTAACCATCTTTAGTTAGTTAGAACTAAAGTAGAGGTTATTCTAAATGTTGATATAGATACTTTAGCGTGCACTAGTCATAGCTGCCACATGAGCGATCCGCGTGCTTGGTAGGTAGATGGTAGGTGTGTTAGTTGACAATGCCATGTCAACGCTCCGTGTGCTTGTTAGAGTTATCCGCCACGTCATCCATCCACTAGGAACAAGATAGATGATTGGAATCATATCTTATCTCCTTGTACTTGTTGGTAAGAGCTATATAAGGGAGAGTATAACCATTGTTAGATATCTCATCTTCAGAGTTTATGTTTTTATCTTCGAGTGAATTTCTCTCTAAAACCTAGTGTTACACACAAGTACATCTTTTTGTTCCTTCGCTTTCCATTCACTTTCACTGGCACCTCGAGACACACATATTCGCCATTGACCTTCTTTACTACCTAATCCATGCGTTGTTAGAACTTATTTCTCGATGGTCAAGTCTTCATCGTAAACAAAACCACCTGATACTGAGGTCTCTTATTGCTCAAATCAGTGGCTATTTTCTTCTTTGCGTCATCCAGCGACTCGAAGCACTCCATGGCTGTAGTCTGCGTTTTCTGGTCGAGTTTATGGTTTCTTCATAATAAGCATTGCAACATGGAGCTTTGAAAATTGATTGAGGAGATGTACAAATAATTGCAGATGTCCGCTTGCTAGTCTTGACTTACCGGCCGTAGCTACGGCCGCCCGTTGTGGTGCCCAGCAAATCAAAATTCTTGCCGTTGATCAAAATTACGATCGCAACCGCAGCCGAACTGCGGCTATGGGCCAGTCGGCTATGTCACACATTTTGTAAATCAATTGTTGTGGTCCGCATGAGCATAATCAAAACACAAAGAGTAGATAATCTTTCAAACTAATTTTTGTCCAAATTTTTATGTTTGGAAAAGTCTTAACCTCATCTGCAACACCACAAGCTACAACCCTAAAGATTGACGACCCGAGGGTAAAAAAAAAGTTAAGAGCTAATTAAACTTCAATTTTTGCTAATTATTCATCACCTTAAAAAAATTATATAAATTGCTTAACAAAAGAAATATGTGATTCGTGATTTAAATGCCAAAGATATGACACACATGGACGGTGCGATATCGGGTGATTTTGCACTATGCCTTAAAAAAGTCACCCGATATTAGCACAATCTCCATTCAACGGAGGACTGACGACATTATCCACGCCCGTAAAAGAGCATCAGGCCCTGAAGGCGAACCTAGAATTACGTGTAGAAGAGGCGACCCTACGGAGCAGCACATTAGCATAGGAGCAGCAAACGATGTCGAAAGGAACCCACAGAGCTGCTGATGTGAGGTGTGGCTGCTGCGAAGGAAATCTGAGTGACAAATCGGCAGCTGGTGATGTGGAGCGGGGAACAGACGAGCAGCCACAAACAAACACAGCAGCAGATCAAAAGAGCAGTTCGGTCAGAGTTGTAGGTGAACGCGCAGGCGATAATCAGTCAGGACATTAGCTCCAGAACATAACGGAGCGGATGAAATTACTGTAAGTTCGGTCAGGCACGCTGGAGCCGGTGGCGGTCGACGGGTGGTGACCGGACGTAGGAGGTCGGTCGGAGCTGTCTGGGCTCCTGCAGATCTTCACCCATGTGCCTGCGGGCGGGGAAGGGAGCGATCGGCAGGTCAGAGGTTTTTGGCGCCAAGGTCGCAGGCCGATCAAGCTTGCATCTCCTCTTGCTGTTCGGGGCTCGGAGTGGGTAGGGGGTTGGGGCTGGGGCTGGGGTTGGGGTGGAGATCCGTCGAGCGAGCGACTCGTCTTGGGCTCTCTCGACGCTGGCGGGGGCTAGGGGGTGGCTGGGGCTGCGCGCTGCGGCTGGGGGAGCTTGGCTCGGCTCGGGGGGCTTGTCGTCGAGTGTGAGAGCGAGGCATTTCGTGGCCGGAAATTGCTGAGCCAGATCCAGTCACCTGGTTCCATGAGTCCGCTTGTCCTGTGCTCGTAGTCCCTGGCCTCGTGTTCGCTCCTGCTTTTCAGGTTTTGAATTCTCGCCCCCTCGTTCGTTCGGTCGGTCGGTCGTTCTACCGCTCCGCGCTGGGGCTTCGGAGGGCGGCATTGGCACTGGGGCGCGCGGAGAGGGGGGCGCAATTCGTCGACGCGGAGTGGAATGTGCGGGGGGGTCGATTCGACCGAGGCTTGGATGTCGAGTTGGTCAGCTCGCTCTGCGGCCGGACGGTGGTCCCGGGAGTGCTGAGCGCGAGGATCGGATCTTCTTCTCCATGCACGAGTTCGATCGCTTGCGCTTCTCGGATCGAGTAGATCAGCCGGCGCCCCCCGGGTTGTAGATCTCTGTGCGTCTGGCCTTCGAACGAGTGGCGCATTCGGTCTGTCACCATGGTGGAGAGCACTCTGACGGACAGCACAGTTACGTTTCCTCGGCCGAGCAGCAGCAGCAGCAGCGGCGCGATGAGTAGCAGCAGCAGTTTTAGCGGCATTGGACTGGCCAATGGGAATGGGAATGGGAATGGGCATGCTCACGGTCATAAACGGGACTGGAGGAAGACTATCGCTATGAAAGCTTCGACAGAGTATGATAGCGACGGAGGAGTTTTTTTGAACAAAATTTCTGCCCGTGTGCTGGACGGTTTAGCAAAGGTCAAGTCGACTTTCGAGAGAGGAGCGAACGGTGAGGTTAATGCTCCTCTTTTCGGTTTGGTGACCAAGTACGTCTCTGTCTTGTACGACCATGAAGAAAAAAATGCCCAGGTTACTGTCAACACAAATTGGCGCAATCTAGGCATTAAATACAGGCGAGACATCAAGGTATGCTCTTTTCTGGACACCTTCACCGGTTTCTTTTCAGATTCGTTCGCATGATCCGTTGCCAACCTACGTGCCGAAGTCTGCATTCCGTGGAGCTCCAGTTGCAATGAGTCGGCAATCTGACAGGTCCCGAGTGGTCTGTTCACTTTCGTGTGCAGGCAGAGGAGGGGGAGGTTTCGCTGACAGCAAGCGCCTTCAATTCGAAGTACAGAGCCGAAATAGACTTCGACCTTCCTCAAACGGGCAGCATGGTACACTTCTGTTCTGTGCGCACACAATTTGCTTTTCTTTTAGCTATGTCTTGCGCAACTTTATATTTATGTCATAGGGTCCCACGAAATACATAAAGTTGTGAACAGTGGGCTGTTTTAACTATCTCCCGGTCGTCCACACCCCTGCAGTTTTTCTGTTGTTGTGCACATCTCTTGAACCTTAAAAGGGAATTCTACCACTACATCTAAATCCGGATTAAATTACCGAAACTCCAGGAACTAAGCAATTTCATAGTTTCCATGGAGTTACTGGCCACTTTGTGATCCATGTAGTCACACGTATTACCCCTGTATACTTGCAATTTGTTTAGAATCGCATCCATCTGCGCTGGAGTCTGAATTGTCTTTTGAGATCCCAACTACTCCTGTGGAGTTTCTAGTTTTCGACTGAGGCCTTGCGATTTTAGACGCTGAGTTTTATCATCTGGACGAAAGTGGTTTCGAATATGCTGATCAGAGGCTTTTAGAACACATGGGGGATGACACAGGAATTCTAAATCTTAATCAGTGTAACAACAGCGATCACTGACGCAAATTGCACTTGACGCTGAGATGGCCATCATCATGAACGATGGCGACGTACTAGATTGCCAATATCTAAGAATTCAGTTGAGCAGCGTAGTGCCCACATTCATAATCGCGTGAAGGGTTTTATTGACGTTCGTAATTGCGCATGCGTTCCCTGTTCAAGCCGTGTCACATGGAATATGCCATCCTCCTGTTTCTCACGCCACTGTATGCCAGGGTTTTATTGTAGATTTGTTTCTGCTTGCAGCCAGGGAACAATAAACACCAAATAACATGGATATAGTTTACATCATAAATTATGGAAGGCTTGGAAACATATTCTGCCGCCTTGTAAACTCGTCTCGTCACCGCCTATCTTGTCTACTAAATCTGTGGTAGATTTGGAATTATGCTCTAACAACGTAGATAAGCAGTACTGAAGCTGGTGCGGTACCTTAAATGTACTCAAAAGACAGGGCGGAGACCTTTGGAATAGTGTCGTCGTCCGTCTGAATAGTATGCAGGAGCTACATCCTGTATGATGACAATGCAGAGGCGTATTATGGAAGTTGCTATGCAGCTGGATCAAAGTTATACGTCGAGTGTTCATTATCCTGCGAGGTAGTTTATACATGGCAGTCTCCAGACTCTCTTATAGTAGAGCTTGGACGTTGGATTGTATATCCTGTTTGTCTGCTCTACTGCGATAGCCCGCCGAGCATAAGCATTTTCTGCATTCCAGAAATTACCCTCATCGTGATCGCATATTCCTCGTTCTTTCTTTTCTGGATTACGCATCCACTACGATCAACACACTTAGTCCTTAAGTCGGACTTGCTTATTATACAGGACTTGTATTCTTTGTTTCGGTCCAGGCTTTAGGTAGTGACATGGAGCTTAGATGTGCACACGCGCGCGGGTAGTGGCCAGTCCACCTCTGGAAATGCTTGACATGATCGATGGTGGCTCGACTCTCATGGCATAATATCTTGAAAGACTAAAGACCGTTAGCCGGTGAGAAGTGCATTAAGGGGAACAGTGCAGTTCTCGACAGTTGGCGTATATGTGGCAGAACTATTTCTGAATCTTCAGCATACCATTGGTGTTGCGAGTTTCATCTGTCAACGTAGAAATCTTATGTCCAGGATGAATGAGGAATTCTCCGTATACTAACAAAGAGTGCTTTTCTACTTAAAAGCTAGTAAGCTAGTAAATAAGTTGATTTAGATGATGCAAACGTTTGCCTCATAAGTTACTTCTTGTAATTTGGCGTGCAAGGATATAGTTTGAAGGTTATGATCTGTCGCCCTTTTGGCCCTTTGGGCCGATAAGGCCGGAAATGGCTTATTTACGCGCACGAAGACTAGAAGGAGAGGGGAGAGCACGCAGTGCCTCTACCTATAGTCTCGTGGCCTTTGGGCCGTTAGTCTAATGTCTCCGACCCGCTCCCCTACGGTAAGAGAAGAAGTTCGGGCCTCCGCGCCTACCTTTGATTTAAGGCGCCATCTGAACTCCCAGATGGTTTTTAATTCTTTTAAAAAACAAAAAACACAAAAACATATTTCGTTGCTTTTGGCAGTAGGTTTAGAGCTCTAACCTTGTCATTCTGCAGGTAAGGTTAATCTTATGAGATCGGCATGGTCTCATACACGACTGGTAATTTGTTTCGGCCATCTTGTGCAGCCTAGAGCAAGTGTGACGTTTCCTTTTGGCGAAGTCAAGGTATTTGAAGAAATCCGAGAAGACGAACATGGTGATGACTTTAGGGCCATGGCTGCGAGCGGATTTTTGGCCGGACCAGTCTTCGGAGGTCTATGCGTTGCTGACTACAAACAAGAGAACCTGATGCTAAAATATGCCTACAAGGTTAGCAAACTCGGAGGCACCTGTCTTCATTTTCTTCGGGAGGGTTGAGCAACCAAAAATCTACTAACTGTTGGTTTTCGCTCATTTAGCTCCGTTTATTAATTTGTCAGCGCTAATATCTCTTGAAGTGAAAACTAAAGCTGTCGAAAACACAGCGCATTCGAAGAACAGAATTTATCGACGTTTGAGCTGTACACTGTTTCAATAATACTGAGGAGACTACTGAAGGCTGGTATCTAACTTCAACGTAAAGTGATAAAAGAGCCGTCGTAGATGTAATGTGCAGACGTTCACTCCTACCCTTTACTCCTATTCATTTGTGTTTGTTGAATGCCTGATCAGCAGCAGCTGATGAGCTATAATTGATTTTTACAGGATGAGGAAATGACACTGATACCCTCAATCAGTTTACCGTCAATGTCTCCAACAGTAGCATTCAAACGGCAATTTGATAATTCAAACAAATTAAGGTACACAGTTTAGAAGATGCCATCAGGTCTGATCATGATGAACTCCTGACGAGGCTGGTCATATAATGTTCCAAATTCTTGGATTGTTTTCAATGTTTACCTCCATACTTTCTTTATGTTGCGTGTCGAATCTTACATCGGCTATCTCGTTGTGAAGTTATCTGTACAATTTCGACACGACTGCGTGGAGCACTGTTTACAAGCACAAACCGAACGATGCATTCAAGCTCAAGCTGGGTTACGACTCCGAAGTTAAAACGTTTTGGGGATCAACATGGGTATGCTACTTCGGCCGTATTATATCAGTAGACCTATGCAGATGTTCCTGTCTCCCTGAATACTACATGTCTATTTCTGTGTGTGTCTGGCCGGCTTATTTCTTTTATTTAACATGTACCTGTATGTTTGATTCATCTCCAGGTTGGCAAAGAAGATGCAGGTGCCAAAAAGGCTCCACGAAAGTGTAAGCTGCAAGTTATGGTACAGGTTCCCCAAGGAGATGTCAAAAACTCCGTGGTTCTCTTCAGAATAAAAAAGCGCTGGGATTTGTAAAACATAAATGTTGCCAACAGTAGTCAAGTTTACCGTGGATATCGATGCCTATCAGTCTCGGCTCTTTTCCTTGCGGTTTCACTGGTGAGCATCCAATTGCGATCATTCGGTGGCGACCCACGTTAAGTCTCAAGAATCCTCTTCTGATTCTGATTTCTTTCACTATAGGACAACTTACTTTCGCCGAGTCATTGTCGGTTTCAGATTGAGGACCGTAGCTTTGAATAGAATGGAAGGCGTAGCTTTGGCTGGAATTTTTGGTACTGTCACCAAATTAAGCGTGAGGTACATGTCCTTGTAAAGTTGGGACAGAACTGAGAGGTTTTGTCCCACGTAGATCAAGAGATCGATGAATTTCCAATTTTATATGGTGAGTGAAATTCGTGGAATTTGTGGATTGTTCATCTTGCTCGTTGTTGTTAATTTGGGAGACCCTACGAGTGAGTGAGGTTGTTGCCAATTTTGCAGCGGTGAATGCAAGTTTTCGGAATAAAGTTCAGCACAGTCCCAACATCTGCAAATATGAGTTATAATTTTTCCAGTTTGAAGACATGGATAGAATCTGTATGATTATCGAGACTCCTCGTTTTTAGTTGATGAGCTCCTTCTGCTTCTTGCTACCACCGGTATAATGCCGCATCTTGGAAACAGTTGTGGATTGTGTGGTTCTAGAAACACATAGTTGCCATTCAAACCACTCTGTGCGAAGAGGTGACGCGCACATTCTATAAGATATCAACCGAAGAAGAAGAGTCTTTGTTCAGATGATGAGGGTCTAAATTACCTGTGCTATCGAATAATTGTGTATAGACTACCGTTTGCAACGCAAAGAACAGTGCTAATGACGGAGTTAATATGGTAAGAGAGTTTTCTCGGTGCCTGCGTAGACGTGGTCTCAACAATCACGATACAACTTGCAAACGGCATTTGTCTGTAAGTGAGGATCGGAGATCTAGTCTAATGGGAATCCCGCACTTTGATACTTTACGGTTTACAAACCCAAACATTAGCACCTGTGGACCTTACAACAGTCAATATAGCTCCATGGCGATACTAGTGGTGAGATGGGACACTGGTATTGAAATCCCCTGGCTAACCCTGACGATTAGAAGAATGGAATGCAAAGAGTCGTGCACGAGGTCCATTTTGACCCATGTGAGATGGGAATATGCATGGCACATATACCTAAGTCAGATTTGCATTGACTGATTGTTGATACGGGTAAGAGCTCCCTCACTCAATCAATGCCAAACACTACACATGAATACCGGAACTTTCGGTACCTAGTGAAGTACACTTTGTTAATTCTTCACAGTGTAGATGCTCTTGTTAATTTAGGCGCAGGAGTGAACGTAAATTTAGTTAATTTAGACCCCTTACTATATGTGCAGGCCTCATAAAATTAGTCAAATGACTATTTTAACTATATTTACAGAATTTAGTCATTTTTTCGAAATGAAATTAGTCAAAATAGTCATTTCCCCTAAAAGTGCCATTTTTTTTTTTTTGAAATCACCTAAAACACGCAAAATATGGTCAGTTTGGAGGGTAGTCACTTTTGATGCAACATCTCATGGCATTTTCGTTGAGACGAAGAAAAAAAGGGGCATTCAATCTGGAATTATCGCTATCAACATCATCTGGATACCAGAGGATTCTTCCGATAACAATGTCAACAATAGCTTTGTCGCATATGAAGTTCAATTGTTCTGATTGGCTATCCATAAAAAAAGGAATAGTTTCTGCTGCCTTGACAGTGAAATCGAAAAAATCCATTTTCTCAGCATCTGAAAAGGACTAATACTGAGCTCATTTCTGGTCATGCTGAGACTCAGATGACTCCGATAATTCTGTGGACGAAACGGTGACTTGAAAATCCAACAAGACTGTGATACTTTCTTCTTGCGACCAAATGCAACACAAAAACTGCAATGAACTCCTAAAACAACGACTACTGGACCATGATCGCAAGGTTTTACGCCATACATTAGCTCATGCTTTAGTTCTTACAGAGTCGTAATGGAACTGAAACTCTTTTGCTTTTTGGAAGGAAGCTCAGTTGCCATGGGAGCAGATGCTAGGAGCGACAAAGAATGGATAGACATCGAATTCCAGAGGGAGACTGCATGAACGGACTCCACGCAGTCTGTAGCTCGCAAAAATCGTCAAAAGCTACCAAGGAAAAATTTCCGAAAATAAGTTATTTTTTCAAAATGAAATTAGTCAGATTAGTCATCTATTTATAGATTGGCTATTTTTATGAGGCCTGTATATGGTTGTTCTTTTTTTATGTCAAGATACTTTTCACATTTCAACATTGAAAAATCAATTTCTAGAGTGACAATGTTTGAAAGTGAACATGCTAATACTCCAAAGAATTCCATTAGTAAACCTAATGTCTGGAATAGTTGAAGCTTCACTAAAATCAGATAAAATTTGTATGTCAAACGATTTAAGTCATTGCAAGATTGATATTCACGATGCACAAAAACCGACAACTACTTGTGTTCATCCACTATTTGATCAATGTAATTTTGTTGCCAAGAAACTTACAAATGATATTAATTTAGAAATACATGCAGTTGTTTTCAAAGTTGCAAATTCACGAGGTAAAAAAGAGTCGGAATGTTGAAACTCACATGGTTTAACTTATACCTTGGTCCATGCAAAATTTCAAGTTAATCCTGCCAATTAATTTTAACAATTTTTTCGGAGGATTGGGTATCATGACTTGCAATGTATTGTAACACGTGTTTTGGTTGACAAAGAAGTTTGAGACCTACAACTTTGCATTGTCGCTTTGCAGCGGATTTGGACTTCAGGCAACAAATTACCAAAATTGTAATTAAACTAAAAAATGGTGCGGGTTCTTTAAAGCCAAAAATACTATTTAAGAGCTTTTAACAACTGGAAATGGTGTGACGGGAATAGAATACTGAACTTTTATCACTCTCTAGTTATGACACCTAGATGAAGAAAAGAAATTTATTTTTTTAAGTAAGAAACTTCTTGAAAACCAAATACAAAATAGGTAACTCAATTGCTGGATTTCCGTATTTAGAAAAGCCTGTTTATCATCTATATTCCAACTTGCCCAAAAAGTATGTAAAACAACATGAATGCGACATGTTTGTGGAGTTGCATTAAAACCTATGCTTAATTCTATTATCCGGATTGATGTAGGTATTGTACGAGCGAATGGGCGTGACACGATGGAGCGAGAAGTAGTAATGAAAGAAGTTGAAAATATGCTTGTTGCGAGAAATCTATAAGAACCAAGAACATGATGTTGAGGGTGTGTGAGAGACGAGAAGGAAGACTCGAGGGTGCCCCCTAGAGGAACCCCACTCAGGGTGTTGATGGTGGCATGGACGCCAGCAGAGTCTGAGAGATGTAGGAGGCTGGTCTTGACTTGGGAGCAGGATTTTGTTTGTTCCTAGTTATGTAATGAAGTTAGGAATGGGAAGGAGAAACATTTGAATGCAATGAAGTTATTGGAAGTAGTGCAAGACCGACATGGCCTCTCTATATAGGGCGGATATCTCAACAAAATAAGGATAATTCTCAAATCAATATATTTTCAAATCAATGTGGAATATATGGAACTTGACAAAAATTTCTCATGTTTTCGGCCCAATTTGACGTCAATGTAATATATTGTTGAGAGAGATGGTTGTTATTTTTCCATATGTGAATAGATTTCTCCCATTTCAACACTGAGAAATCACTCTCCACAACGTTGCAATGGTCGAACTAATCCTCTGAAAAACTGCATGAGTTGAACAAATCTATTCTTAATACCTGGAATCAGACTGGTCAATCAACATAGCTTGTGAACCAAGAACATCAATTTTGTAATGTTATCGTTTCATAAAAACAAAAAGTTGTTTGTGTTCTTTCATTATTTAGATTATGTACTTCTGTTCCCAAGAAAGTTTGAAACGTTCTAGATATTTTATAACTAGTTGATTAATTTCTCGTGTTTTCAAAGCTAAAATCTACGGAGGTAATCAAAGAGACAAATTACTACAACTTGCTTGGTTGAACTCATCAAGTGTCACCGCAAAGTTTTATTTGAGTATTTCTATTAGCTTCTCTAGTAAAGCCACCAAGATCAACAAAAAAATTATTATAAACAATCACCACAAAGTTTTAGTTAAATATTTCTGTTTGTTTCTCTAGTAAAGGCACCTAGATCAACAAAGATATTGTCACAAACGGTCACCTCAAAATTTTAGCCTTCTAACTCCGTTATTTTCTCCAGTATATTCACCTGGTTAACAAAGACTTTTTTGTTGGAATATGGAACTTTTTGAAAATGAAATACGATAATTGTACTCTCGAGTTCCGCATTTGCCGTATTTAGAGAGGCCTGTACATGGCTGAAAATGCCGAATCAAAACTACAATGCAGAGGAATACATGTTTGATTGAAAAGTATCAAATCTCCATAATGGATTTGGACTTGTTCAACTGTTTAATTAGCGATGGTACCGAAGGGTACAAACAAGATTTGATGAAAGATTGAAGTAAATCAACGCTTTGCTCTGAAACAATCATTCCCTCCTCTTATTAACACGTATATGACTGTGCACACGAGTCCTAATAGAAGAGGCTTTTGGTAGGTGGCTTTGTAATTCAAGGAGAAGAGCTAAGAAGCGAAGTAGCCGTGTGGTAGTGGAGAGTTAGATTCTAGTTCTTTGGAGAATGATTGGACAGACAAGCACAATAATAAAGATCATAAGTGTTGAAAGATCCAAAAGAGGGAAAGATAGCTTAGCTTCCCAATAAATTTCACACTGCAGAGAGTGAGAAAATGGTTGACAATCTTTTCTTTTTCTCCACTTTTAGCAGCGTGAAGTCTCTATCGAAGCTCAACTATGAAGCCTTCACGGAGGCGAGCTTCTGATTCCATTGGTTTGTTGTAGCTCGTACTCTCCAAAATTTGCCTGCTGCATTATTCAGACTCTACAACGTTCTACAGATCTAATCAAGAGACACTTTTTACCGCATAGGCACAATCGGAACGAGCTTGTGCTGCCGAATTCATCTGTCTCATCCCTTCCACAGACATATGGGTTTGAGCATCCCAACCTTGCACATATTTCATCTGCAACCTATGTATATAATCCAATATCTCCGTGAATCTATGATTTCTAACATCAAAAGCACGACTATGATGTTTTTCCATGATACAGTGCTCACAAAATGTCAAGCCAACTTTATTCAAATTTGATAACATCTTTTTTTCATAAAAAAAAAACATGTACCGATCACTCATATGATCTAATTTGAAATTTCATACAAGTAACATCTCAACGCAAGATCTAGTAAAGTCAACTTCTTTATAAATAGTGTTGTCCTCT